TTGGGCGACTCGTCCCGGGACGCTGAGTGAATAACCGGACTTTGACGTCCTATTCGCGATCTAGGGATTATATGACGGACATGCGACGTTTATGTACGAAAAAGGATACTAGCCATGAGACGAGCGGGCTTAATGGGCCAAACTTGCGAGCAAAACGAGCCGCGAACGTAGAGGAAATTTTGCAGCAGGAATCGCCATAGAATTTTCTCGACGACCGACGACCATGTCTTATGTATGCTACTTAAGTGTATTAAAAATTTACTATCAAAAAACTTGCCACATCTTCCGTAGTACGGGAGCAGCACTTCTCGGTATCGCTAGAAAACACTTGATAAACTTGAAGAGAATCTCGCGCGAGAAGGATGCTACAATTTTCCCTGCGCGTGCGTAGTAGGCAATGGGAAGTCTCCGTGTTTCGCTGAAAACACCAGAACCGGAAGTGGAAGGCACTAATGGGTGCGTTGAATTCGCCGCCTCCGGCGAGTTCTCTCGGCGAGCCTGCGGAGAAGTACCGGCTCGACAAACTGAAATCCGATCAGGGACTTTGTCGTCCTCGGAGAAGTCCCGAGGATCCGCCCTCGCAGCGGAGACGTGTGTCGCACATGTCGATGCGTTTTAGCGACGGCGCGAATGAATCGCCGTAGATTCGACGGGCGTGCAGTAGCGTTCAGTGGCAACGACCTCGTATCAGGAAGTGTATGGCCCGCTCGTTGTTGTTCCAGCACGCGCGCGCTCCCGGCTTTCGCACTGCGAATTGCGAGGATTCAGCGTGGTAACATCGGCCACTGGGTATTGATCATCTCCGCTCGAGCGCTCCGCTCGGCCATTACGTGCCGCGAGGTAGCTCGTCCCGATGCTGTTTATTTCTCACACCCGCGTCTACCCGCGACTGCCACCTTCGCTCGCTGCCGGACAACCGAATCGAATCGGAACTCCTGCGGATGGTTTATGCCTCTCGCCTCGTGAGGAAACATCTCGATGGCTATCTCGGTTGTCGTGATTATCGTAGAACGCGACCGCGCACGATCGCAACCGCAGCCGAGCGCGCGAGGTATTCGCGTTAAGTCTCGGAATTCAATTGAAACTCAGCATAGTCGCGAGTCTTCTGGCTCTTGATCGCTCGGCTGGTGTTTTTTTGCAAACTGATCTTTTTCATCTCTGATCGTTGTCGAGTATCAAGTCGTAGAACGTGAGACGTGTTAGATCCTGAAGCGAAGTGGAAACCTAGCGCGCGAGTCCCTTGGACTTCGGCTCCGCCGAAGATCGGCCTGGTCTTCGCTCGTGTTTTCGTACTTTTATTTCTGAAGCAGGATTCTTGTGCGGCGAAGTGCTGAACTTCGCGGCCAAGACGAAACGACCGACCGACTCGTCTTCAATTCCGCTCAATCAGCGAAGGTGATAATTTTTCCCGGCTGCGATTAAAAAGATGCAATCGGGAGGCGAAGGCGCAGCAGCGCAGGTGGTTTCGCCGTGAAATCGAGCTCTCGAGTTGCGCTCGAGTCGCGCACCTCAGCAGGTTCCGATTTACCGGGATTTCCTCGCCGTTCCTTTCCGACCCTCCTCGCCGATCTCTTCTCCTCGTCCTCCTCGCTAGCGCGGCTTCGCTCCGCGAGAGAACGAGCCGCCGTTCCTCTCCATTCCGACTCGAAGTACCGGTTCTCATTTCGTTTTCTCGCTCTCTCCCTCCGTCCGAGGGAAGCAGGAGAGGCGAAACGACAGGAGAAATGAGAAAGAGCGGATAGAGCGGCGGCGGCGGCGGCGGCGGCGGCGGCGGCGAGGACGGGCTGAGGAGGGGAACGACGGAGGGAGTCGGGGGGGGGGGAACGAGCGAGACGGCGAAGCAGGATGGGAAAGAGAGCCGAAGATAGGCAAAGGCGTACATCGGTACCCTGGTCACGGTGTTCGCGCAGGTATTTATAGCGCGGCCGAACCTGTTAGGGGGATTTGGTTAGAGGAACTCACGCACGCCGCGGTGGTTCTCTCTCGCCGCGCGATGCCGAAGGTTGCCCAACCAACGGAACCGCCATTTTGGTGCCTCGTCTTGGTCGCCCGGCTGTTACCTTCGGGCTCCTCGGGCGCCGTGACGCAAGCGATTGCGTCAAGACGTCGTTAGACGACATCCTCTCGTCTAACTCGTCATTTCGAGGCCGGGGTCGCCGTGGATTGCATTATTCGAGTTTTCTCTCTCTCTCTCTCTCTCTCTCCCCCTTCCCTCCCTCGCTCTCATTCTCTTTCTCTCTCAGGGCCGAGCGCGGCTCTCGGGAGGAGATGAAAACCCCTCGTCGGGAACGTCGAAGACGAGGTCCTTCGAACGGGACTACTCTCGGTAGGCCGTCCTCTCGTCCCAGCGCGCGGCTGCTGTATTCATTGGTTTGCTAATTCCCTCTGAAAGTCGCGCTTACGGTTAATCGAGTGTGAGTAGAATTTCGAATCTCGTGATAACCCCAAGAGCTATCACGAGAGATGGAGAAAATCGTAGGATATACTCTAAGTTCCGCGGAGTGAAATTTCACTCGCATAGAGCGAGTTCTCCGCTCCGAACCGTCAAGTGGATTCTCGCTCGTCTCGAGCGGAATGACACTTGAGGGAATTTGGAGAGTATTCTGTCGACGACGGTACGAGTTTTGAAAAATACCGATACCGAGAATTAGACTCGGTGGGTTCCTGCTGCTTACAAGGGATGCCGGCGGAGTGACACCGGTAGGAGGATATCCCGCGATCTTTCCTTCCAGCGGCATCATTGTATTCCGCATAATGGACGTGACCTCAGTAAAACACCGCGTCCTCGCTAGTTGGTTTCCTGGTTGTCGCTCCAACGACATGATTGCACGACACACCAATACACACGCAGGTACGATGTCCTCGTGCTCCATCGGCGAAAAGTGGCCGATGTCAAAGTCAAGAGAGCGCAACCACGTACGACTGGCGACGGACCTCGGGTGGAATCGCGGTAAAAATAGCGACGTGCCGGCGCGGCGGTTCGTTGCGAGAGAGATACGGGAAGGATTAACGTGAAAAACGAAATTCCGTCCACGTGAATCGGTATCGCCGCGCCGGGGCGGACGGAGTCGAACGGGGTCGCAATTCTTCTCGCGTCACACCGCGCGAAGCCGCTGGGTCGACTTACGCTCGCTGGCAATTTACGACTTAATTTCTATTCTTTTCAAGACTTTTCATGACTTTTCATGACTTTTCATGACTTTTCATGACTTTGCGCTCGGATCAGCGGCCGCTGAAAATCGCGGAGGACGCGACGGGCAGATCACGTACGCGCGCGAAGGACGCGCGAGCAAGCGAGAGAGAGAGAGAGAGGGAGAGAGAGAGAGAGAGAGAGAGAGAGAGAGAGAGAGAGAACCCGTCATAGTCGGCATACGGTACCTGCGAATCCTCAAGGTTGCTCGTAAATTCAGCCACGGGGAGCGGGCCAACCGCCGCGGTTATGACTGTATGCGCCGTGCCGTGCATTACGTATGCGCCAATGCACTCCTGCCGATTCCCCCAGCATTGAGAATTCGATTCTCGTCACCTCTAAGCCGGCCGCTCGCGAATGCAAATTCGCGATCCGCCAAACCGTGCGAACCTTGAAAACGCGTGGAAGCTCGCTCGAGTCCCGCGCCGCGTACATACGCTAATAACGCGCTCCATGTTGATCGATACATTCGCAGGATCTCTCTCGTGTGTACGCACGCACGCACGCACATCTGTAAATTTATCGCGCGTTATCGCGGAGTGGTTACTCGGCTGATTCGCGTTCGTTTTTCGTATGTAGCGTAATGGTGAGAAATTCGCTTGATTGGTTCTTTATTTAATTTCGTAATCTTGTTTGGCTCGCGATTTTTCAGTCTTTCGTCGTAAGAAATTTTAATCGTAGAAGCCGCCGTGTAGTTTGATATTTCAGAGAGAGTATTTAAAGTTATTGGATGCGAGATTGTCTTTTTGAGCAGATCTTATACCGTCTTCCAACGTCACGAGAACCTTCCGGGCGTCTGAAAATATCGATGCCTCCGAACACGGCAAACAATAGGAAATATCGCGAGAAACAACTTTCTTCCTGCATGTAGCAGCCGCCTATATCTCGCTGATAACCCTGTCGAAATATATCTCGACCTCATAGTCCCACTTTTTTGTCTGGTCCTCACCTATGAGATACGTATTTGCATAAGTATTCGCAGAGTGCGCTAATGATGAATAATTCATTTATACTGGTCGCGAGGACCGATGCCCGATCGACAGCAGCGTGCGTAGGCCTGTGAAATAGATCGTCGTTCTTTAAGGTCCTTGACTCGACACGACCTCGGTGAACTCGTGATGCCTCGGAAACGAGCGATCTAGTAAACACCTTGCGATGTTTACGTCACACTGGGTGTTTTTTTTTTATTTTGTTTATATATCACACGTATGTATAAATGTTCTATGTAAATTGACGCGTTAATATTACCTTGAATCAATCCGCTCTCTTGGGATATCGTAAGAAAGTCACCAGTGCGCTCCTTGCGATCGGCGATTCGTCGGTTCACGCGAAGAAGAGAGATCAGATAAATCCTTCGAAGGGATGCATTATATAAATTCTTCTAATATTAAGACGCGAAAATTAGAAAATTGAAAAGAATGTTTTAATTTCCCGTCGAAATTTCGTGACATCTCTTCGCACATTATATTCCTAATTACCGAGGATTTTCAGATTTTCAAATTTTTGCAGATTTGTAGGTGAATATAATGAGCAAAGAGGTAGGACGAGTTCTCGGCGGGAAATTTGAAAATCTGCAAATTCTGCTCACTGCAAGTTTCTCGATTTTCACATTTTCGTATCAAGAGAATATTTTTTGAAGCTTTTATGGGCATTACTGGAAATTTTTATTCAGCGCGCGTGTGTCGAAAATAAAAATTAATTGGAAGTATTCGACGAGTCACTTGTTTTCGCGAGCTCACAGCGATCACTAATGGAAATAAATAAATAATAATTACAAAATAAAATAAACTCGACGTTTTTTGCTCAACAGCGGATCGTGACAAAATCGACTATGACCGCCCGAGCACCCCGGAACTCCTGCGGAGCACGAGCCCGACGTCGTCGCCGGTGTCGTCGTCGACGCCGCAGTCGCAGCTGGTAACGAGCAGCAGCAGCAGCAGCTCGCTGAGCGGCGGCGCGACTCGACCGAGGAGATTCATTTCCAGCATCCTCGGCGGCGATGTGCCCTACGGCAGTCGGGGTCACGTACTGACGCGGGCGGAGCGCAAGGAGTACAGCAGTCCGCCGATCGCACCGACGACCACGAGCGAACCGCCGCGCTTCTTGTCGCAGCCCGACAAGGTGACCCTGCCGAGGCCGCAAACGCCGCCGAAAATCCCGCAGGCCGAGCCGCTCATGAGGGTGTCGGTGATCAAGAGGGTCCCGGCCAAGGAATCCGCCAGCCTTCAGGAAGACGAGAGCAAGCTGGAGATACCCACCCCCGAGCCGGAACAGGTACGTGTTGCTTGCGTGACGCTTCGACTTGACGGAATTAGATCGGCTTGAGGACGATTAAAACCATCGCGACTTCATCTTAACAATCTGTCCGTGTTGCTGGGAAGCTATTCGTCTGGTCGTTCGCTTGGGACAATCGTCTGAACAGAAACACTCGAAAAAAGCAGAAAAATTACAAAAACCTCTTTCCGTTCTCGTCGAGGACGTTGCAACCGAGTTCTCGTCTGCTCCCCAGGTAGCAGAAAACCAGTTGCCCGATCCGGGTCTTTTTCCCGCGCAGAGACAGCGTAAACACTCGAAAGACATCTAAAGACGTCGAAACGTCCTAGAGACGTCTGAGGACATCCCATTTGCCTCAGACGTCCTTTGGGTGTCTCCGAGAGCTATTTTAGACTTGTGGCTATCCGTGCCCGGCGAACACGATGGCGTATCAATGGCGTATTAATGAGATATTTTTGACACTGGGAACCTCATTGACACATCATTGACACGTTTTCCGATGTCAGCTTGTTGGCCGGGTGCGAGCGAGATCGCGGAGACATCGAGAATGACGCGGGCAAACTTCCAGGAACATCCGATAGACTACGCGGTGCCGAAGAAGAGAAAGCGGGAAGACGAAGACGACGAGGAGTGCCGCGAAGGCGCGAAGGTCTCTCGCACCGCCGGCACCTCGATCGCCAGGCCTCTGCTGAGCGTGCCACTGCCCGGGTCACAGGTCATGCAGGCGGCTGCGGGTCACGGTAGATCCTCCAACTCGGGCAACAGCGGCTCTTCCGGCGGGAGCGGCTCCGGCGGCGGCGGCGGCGGCGGCGGTGGCGGTGGCGGAGGTGGCGGAGGTGGCGGATCCTCGTCGTCGAACAGCGGTGGCGGCAGCGGAAGTTACTGTGGCGGCGGTGGCAGTGGAGGCGGCGGGGCCATGGCGGGCGGCTGCGGTGGCGGAGGCGGCGGAAATGGCGGCGGCGGCGGCGGCGGAGGCGGTGGCGGTGCGGTCGGCGGCGGTGCTGGCGCGGGTGGCATGAATCCCGGTGGCAACGGAGGAGGCCGCGGCAACTACGGTCCGAGTTCGCCGCCGACCGGCTCTTTACCGCCTTTCTATGAGTCCTTGAAGGGCGGCAACAACCTTGCCAACTTTGCCAATCAGTACAACAGCGCACAGGGTGAGTGCGCCTGGTGTCTTCGTGTATTGGACCATGGGTATTTGTCATACATTGATCGATACGTTGGTCGATACATTGAGGCACGAAGAGAACAATTTTCGAGGATGTAGGGCTCTTTCGTGTCTTTATTTCGTTTCAGTTCATTCCCATTGTGTTTCGTTTGGTTTGGTTTGGTTTCATTTCATTTCGTTTGGTTTGGTTTCATTTCATTTGATTTCGTTCGATTTCATTTGACCTCATTTGGTTTCGTTTAGTTTCGTTTCGTCACATCTCGCTTTATTTCATTTTATTTCTCTGCTTTTCTCATCGTTGCATTCCAATGTGCTTGATTTCTTTGCTCGCTTTTCATCGCTTTGTTTTATTCGATTTTGTTTTATTTTATCTCACATTTCGTTTTTTTTTTTCATTTATGGGCTATAGCAACCTACCTTAAGTAGCGGTAGCAAAGTATCACGATTCATGCGGCACACGCTTCCTGGCGAGAGTCAAAGGTCAAAATAAAGGTGCTTCCTAAGCGATTTCTTTGCGGATGCGCGTTTCAGACTCGATATGTTTCCAGGGAATGCGTATCTCACGCCGTTGCCGGCGGTCGGCATAGAATGCGACATTGGCCAACAAGACGTGAACTCTCAGCATGTGCAGTACAGTGCGCAGGAGGGCAAGCAGTACTCGTTGCTGCAGAACGTCTGCGCCTCGTACGGCCTGACGTTCAAGGAGGAGCAAGAGGAGCTGGCGGCCTACAAAATGCAGTCGAACGACCTGCTGTCCAGCCAATATGGCCCGTACGATGTCTCGGATTCGAGCATAATGGTGGACATGGTGACTGGTGCGGTGGTGGACCCGCTGCAGCTCACCGCAACCCTCACCTTCAACCCATCGTCTGACCACACAGCGTTGCTGGAGAGCCTGAGCGACGCGGATCTCCTGCTGCCTCGACTGCAAACCGAGGACGGCGGCAGCGATCTCTTGGAGGACCCGCTGCACTCGCCCGCCTCCACCGGCAGCAGCGGGATCGGCCAAGACGCAGGTCAGATGACCACTCCCGTCGAACCCAGCGTCGATCCTTTCCCCGAGCACAGCATGGCCTTGACCAGAGGCTTTGACACGAGGTAAGCGCGCCGTGAGAACTCTCACCACTTGGCTTTGCACCTCGCGAATGCCTCGCGTTCCCATTGCTTTCATGTTCGCGCTCTCGGAAAGCCGCGAGCGCGCAAACACGCCGGCCATGGAGCTGTTTCTAGTCGCGGGCGCTTGTTAATGGGACCGCTGGCGGTCCTCCTTTCAGACACTACACCACTCCGCAGCACTACAACACGTCCAAACTGGGACTGAACTACGCGAGCGGAGAGCCCAACTACCAGCCGCTGTCGAAAGAACGGCCGGAGTTGGCGCTGCATATCAATCAGAGCCATCAGCACCAGCAGGACCAGCAGTTGCAGATTCAGGTGCAGCTGCAGCAGCAGAAGCAACAAACAGCGATGTCACCGCATCAACAGCAGCAGCAACAGCAGCAGCAGCAGCAGCAGCAGCAGCAACAGCAGCACCAGGCACTTCTCAGCCCCGGCTTGAGCTTCACCGGTAACGGTAAGTTTCAGTTTCTGCCGCTACCTGTCCGGTGATTCCTCGCGATCAGCGGCTTTTTCTTGTCGAGCACGTCGATTGCGACCCTTGACCCTTTCGGTCGTTGCCCCCAATCTCTTTTCTGGAGAGTTTCAGACATGTGTTCGTCGTGACACGCCGAGAAGTAAGTTAAACGATACTAACGGAGATTACATTTTTTAACCTGCGTGTGTAATCCAATGAGGCCGAGAGGGTCAGTGTCGAAGTGTGCAGAAATATGTTGATCACGCGGAAGAACAACGTGATATTTTTGACGGCTTAATGGACCGCACGTCCTCACGGGAATTCTCCCGTGAGGAAGGATTCGAACACAGCGAGACACAACATTGCTGCATTTTCTTTTAATTCACTCGCGCGTGTGTCAACTTGCAAGCATTTGCCCATCGGTCTAATGACGCCGAAAAGGATCCGAATAATAAACGTTCGCGTGTGATATAAATAGATACGAACAGTTGATAATTTCCTACGGACCGCTGCAAGATCAGCGTTGACTTTATATTCCCTTCGCGTTTATTAGGTACATTGACTGTACCTTTTGCGAATTCGAGTTTTTCCGTTCGCCTTGAACAACGTAGATGAAGCTACAATATGCATTGTGTAAAAATGATGAAGCGCAGATAATTACGACGACGAAATTTTTCTTGTACAACAACAATTCGGCTTCAGGTTTTCCATTCGCCAACACACACATGCACGCACGCGCACGGTCCATTAAGCCGTTGTACGCTAACATTGCGACCTAATCTTGAAGGTTTAGAACTAGACTCGGGCAGCAGCGTAGGTGGCAGCCTGCCGAGCCCTGGCGCGACCAGCTGTTCGTTGGACGGCGCCTCCACCAGGACCTCGCCGTCGTGCGCCCTGATGGAACACGCGCACAGCCCGGTGACGGTAGTGAACGGGAGCCAAGCAGCCGCAGGACCAGTCGGCGAGCCGCCGCTTTCGCAACGGGTCGGTGTACTCCAGCAAAGGGTAAGCGACCCAAATTGATCCAGGCAAAGGCATATATCTTCTCGTCTCGCGACGTTTTCAATTGACACGCCCGGGGTCGAGCTGATGAGAGAGAGAGAGAGAGAGAGAGAGAGAGAGGCAGAGAGAGAGAGAGAGAGAGAGAGAGAGAGAGAGAGAGAGAGAGAGAGAGAGAGAGAGAGAAAGAGAGAGAGAGAGAAAATATTCGCTCCTTCTCGGGCGTTCGCTCGCGCTCGCGCGAATCGTTGGGGCTACGCGTCGGACGATTCGCGCGCGGCTGTTTTGACCCGACGCGGAGAAATGACACGAGATGACAGAGAGAAAGATCTCGGAGAGTGGCCACTGCGTAGCCAAATTGAACGTCGAGTCGTAAGCCACTCTCCGCACGCGTCAACTATGCAATGTCAATCAATTTGAGTGCTTCATCCGATGCTACCTTCAGGTTCTCCTGCCCCGGTCTCGGCCGGGAAACTCGGTTCGGTCTAACGAGTCTTCTTGTCGGTTCACAGCTTGGTTTACCAAGTGACTGTCAGATAGAATTTGTTAACGGCGGTCACGGCATTAAGAATCCTTTAGCCGTCGAGAGCCAAAGGCAGGCGGCGGCCAATCGGGACGAGGACAGAGCGAATCGAACTCCGCCCGGCAAGGTAACGATTTACTTTGGCCAACTCTCTCGCGGTTTTGACAATGTCGCGAGAGTAACAACGCGAACAAAGTATAGCGCAGCCCTGACGGCATGTCTTCTGACGCTTTGATCTACAGGACGACAGCTTCACCTGCCGCGTTTGCAGCAAGAACTTCAATCTGCAGCGGTTGCTCAATCGTCATATGAAGTGTCACAGCGACGTGAAGCGCTACCTCTGCACATTCTGCGGGAAGGGCTTCAACGACACCTTCGACCTCAAGAGGCACACAAGGACGCACACGGGGGTGCGGCCATACAAGTGCTTCCTTTGCGAGAAGAGCTTCACGCAGAGGTGCTCCTTGGAGAGCCACGGGGTGAAGGTTCACGGCGTGCAGCATCAGTACGCGTACAAGGAGCGACGCGCTAAGGTATGTTATTCATCAGCCATGAATCGGTATTTCACAAGACGAGAGATGGATTGAAGTCTTCGTCGTGTTTGCTGTCGTCTTTTGTCGCCTTGGTTATTTCTTAAATTGCTTCGCATTTCATTTAGTTTCTCATCTTTCATCGTTTTAAACTTCGACGACAAAGTATCGTTTGCATTGGCAGACTCTGCTTTCAAGAATCCAGCTAAGCTATCGGTACTTGTTACTTGAAACTTGCATCAAATGAGGTACGTAGGTGTGGGTTTGATAGTGAATTACTTCCGTGTGTCTCGCTCGAGGCGAGTTCCGAGTAACGACTGTTATCGACAAGTTCGAGTCTAAGTGTCCTCTCTGACTGTGCGGGCAACATCCGTTTCCGGAAGACGCATCTGATAAGGTGGCGACGCGACGACTGCTGATTAGCATTCTGATACACGTCCATTGTTATCCGACAGGTGTACGTTTGCGAGGAATGCGGACACACTACGCATGAGCCGGAGGTGCATTATCTGCACCTGAAGGAGAAGCACCCGTACAGCCCGTCGCTGCTCAAGTTTTACGACAAACGGCACTTCAAGTTCACCAACAGCAACTTCGCGAACATGTTGCTCCAGGTGAGCACGTAGTTTCCAAACACGACATCCTTCGAACGGTACTTTCGGCCTGATGATAATGATGATGACGATGATTAGTAACAGTGGTAATAGTAGTAGTAGTAGTAATAGTAGTAGTGCTATTAACGGCAATAGCCCGCAACTTAAGCGCGTGTTCTCGCTCGTGGGCGAAGAGCAAAGTAGAGGCTACTAATTGATAGATTTCGGAGAAGGCTCGAACGTACAGATCGAAGTACAGAGTGCGGCGAAACGCGAGTGCACGAAATTCTTCTCCTGTGAGTAGTGATGTTAATTCCTCAGGGTGGCCTACTGCAACGGGACTCGCCGCGGAGCACGAGCGACAGCTGCACGGAGCGGCGGGAGACGGCCTCGAGCAACACCGAGTCGACGCACCAGCAGTCCACGACTCTCGTCGCCCAGGCCTCCAGCTTCTGAATCGCCCGGTGGTCCTGCGTTGAGAACCGTCCAAGAGATGATGACGTCACGTCAGCGGAACAACGGCGGTAAATCGAGGGAAGACAAACAAGTACCTGCATCATGCGCACCTCCCGCAGCGATAACGCTGGAACGACCGCGGCGAATTCGGACTAAAGGTCGATCGCGAGTCCTGCGCGAATCAAATCCTTCGTTAGCGCTATGAGGTGCGCGATGCTTCGCTGTGGGACTCACAATGCGAATGTTTTTCGCGCGAAGCTGCTTATGCGAAATATGAGTTAGGGAGTAGTTGTAGAGAATAGAACGAAGTAGATAAGAGGAAAGAGGAGGTGGAGGAGTACAGAAAAAAAGAAAAGGTTCTACGGAGCCACAACGGCGGGAAATCCCGCGTGCAATCCCGCGACCTCGCCGTAGGTCGCGGCGCGCATACTTCGTGCAATGAATTAGGAAATCGATTTCTACGCTGTGTAGGATTTCCGTCTCGACGACGATACGCAGGAACCTGTTGCGCGACGATTAAGTTCGCGTGTCGTTTTTCTCTCCAACAGTGGATAAGCGTCTGCAAAAGAGCCAACCTCCTTCCTCCCTTCTTTCCTCGGAAAACATGGAATGGTACGTAGTTTTGCAACTCTAACGACAACGCGTGAGATTCGTAGCAGCCGTCGAGCGGCCGAGCTGACGACTCGAGCCCGACACGTCGCTAGGGAATCTCGCCTCTACTCCACTCACGGACACGTCGGGCGGCCGACTCTGTCCGACTTTTAGAGCGTTCTTATGTCTAGTTGTAGTTGTATTTAACTGTACGGAAAATTAATTTAAAGACAAATCTCCTAGAACAAAGTTGGTACTTTAGCAGGTACAACCGCGCGACTGCACGGGGCGCATGTATAGACGCATCCGTGCTCATGCATACGCATTCACTATACATACGTATACACGTAGACACGCAACAACACACACACACACACACACACACACATGGAAAAACAGAATTCGGTTCGTGTACCTGAATTTCTGTTTTCCGGCAGCCGAACGAACCAGGGGCGAAGAGATTCCTGCAGGGGTTTTTTGTTACTACTGACAGTCGACTGTCCTCCATCCTCCCAATCTCTGTCCTCCCAATCGAGTTTGAACACAAGTTAAGTATTTAAACAAACATTTATGGTTACAGTAGCAAAAGGGAACTCCATTTTGATCATTGAGTCTTTGTCCGGTCGCCAGCGAACGAAAAGTGTCAATTCCACAAGCCGAGAATACTTACACGCGGTGACACGAGTGACAAATTTCAGTCCTTGTAACTGTATAAGGGGCCGGACGAAAACTCTCGTGAGTCAGTCGGATGACTGATAACCTCATTTGGGCAACGTGTGCGGCTACCTACAAAGTCAGCACTGAGATAATCGAGGACGGTTGACTGAGTGGGAAAATTGACCTCTTACGAGCGAATCTTTCTGTTTCTACGGCCGATTTGTTTCCTCGTCTGCTCCGCAAATAACAGAAAAACAAAGGAAAAAGGGAAAACACAGTTGCACGAACCGAGCGCTTTTCTTTTCATATATTCATATATACAGGTTACACAGGTAGGATATTAACGACGGACAGGCGGCGCGGCATCGGGCGAACCCGAAGACTCGGATTGAACGTTTCAGGAATGCCGAATCACCCTCGGCGGTCGGCCCCTCGCCCGGCCCTTCGCCGAGGGCGAAGAAAAGAGAGAGAGCGCGATTGATTGCACGGAAGACTTTTTTTCTCAGAGATGTACGGCGAGTTACGTTGCTTTCCGACTCGACGGGTGAACGCGCGCGCGCGGACGGAGTCGAGTTCCAGGATATCGGCTGGATAACCGGATGACCACACAGGGCCTTCCGCGATCGCGAAACCCTGTCGAACGCTGATAGAAACAGTCACCTCCCCGCGGCGACGTTCTCGTCTTCATATAGTTTCTGTATACGCGTTAGACACACACACTCACACATATATATATATATATATATGTATATGTATATATAAAAGGTAAGTCCCCAACCAACGCGCACTTTGGGTAATCTGTGATATGATAAGAGCGACACTGAGATTTCTTGTTTTCCCGCACTCGCTCCTCCACGCAACGGATTCCGCTTTCCGCACTCGCACCATGGTTTTTTTTTCTCGGGTAAGGGAAAGGGACAGGGAAAAGAGGGCAAGGAGAAAGAGGAGGAGGGGCATGCACCGGTCCACATCGCACACACGTACACACGCATACACGGAAAGAAAGAGTTCGGTTCGTGTAACTGAAGAGAAACCAGATGACGTGTCATTATCGGTGCGATCGACAAAACCCGTCCGGACGTTCCGAGCCGCATAAAAATCACATCGGTCGAGATGTTTGCGAAGGATTTTGACTGACTAGAAACCTCATGCGAGCGGGGGTTTTCCCATTTTGGGTCCTTATTCTTTCCAGCCGGCGAACAAGTCGGTTGCACCAATCTGTTGAATTGTTTTCTCCGTGTACACACACACACACACACACACACACGCGTGCGTGCATGCACACGCCCGACACATACATGTACAAAACGGGGTTTCGTGCAATTCTAAGGTGGTAGAGATCGCTTAGATCGGGCGTCGCTGCATTTCGCTCGACATTGATTGTTCCTTCTGTCGTCTTCGGTCGCGGAGAAGCACGCGGGTTTCAATGTTTCATTCAACTTCGCGCGACGAAGACCGGAAAGGGACTATCCCTTTGACGCGTATCGGCCGGGCCAGACCACAGCCAGATGGGTGAAAAATTCTCAAGTTTCTGAATATTGTTCTCAGGCCGAGAGTCTCAGGAATCCCGAGGGTTTCGGTAGCCTGGAAAAGTCGGCCGTTCTCGGACGATTTACTTTGCATGTAGCGATAAACATTTTTATCTAGTAACAAAAATATACTCGACCCATCTGGTGTCCGATAAACACAAACTGACAGTAACGTTGGATTAATGTTGCAATTTCCCACTCAATGCAATTGTGATATAACATATGTCGCTCTCTAAATTTCCTAACGTGGAACTTCACTCAAGACGAGTGAAAAGCGGCAGTATTTTCACTCGAACTGACTGTGGAGATAGATCCTGCCGCTCAAAATCGGGAGAGTGAATACTTCACTCAAGCTTAGAGCGGATTCTGATTCTTCGAATTCGAATGACTCTCAGTGGTCGCTCCACTTCTTGAGTGAAACTTTACTCCGAGACATTAAGGAATGTACGTCGAACAGTTGCATGGTCGAGTGAGGAACTGTGACACGTGATTTTACTATCAGTTGCTGTTTATTGGATGATGTCACTCGGCTATCAACGCGTCGCATTCACCGATTCGTCCTAACGGACGAGTTTGATTTTTTTGTATCGACCTGTATCATAGACTACGTATTGTACGATAAATTAGAGGATTATCTCCTCTAATGTGTGTACATATGTAAATACGACTAATGCTTGACGCTTGTTGTTCATGTTGCTGCCGTCGGCCTCGGAAGATGCTTCGGCGTCGAGGAGAGTCGTGTCCGCGACTTCGAAGCACAACATTGCTTAATTCTCGGGCGAGCGCGACGGAATGCTGAACGCATGACGTGTCCGTCGAGCATCTCGGGAGCGTTAAAAAGGTCTCTTGCAAAGAAACTCATGATTCACATCACTTTGTGATAAATCGCGAGTGACAGGCGAAAGTTGAAAGTTCGGCAAAAATTGAAAGAAGCGCGTGGCATGCGAACAAGACTTATTTTATTCGCGAGCATCATACTCAGCAAAAACCCTTTTTTCTCATCATTGGAGAAATCACTTGCATCAGACAGATGCAAAAATTGGCTGGGCAAAATTTCTCAGTTGGCGTAACAGAGCCTCCGCTTGGCCGTCTACCAACAGTAAATTCAGTTGCACTGAGTCGTCGGCGCCTTGCTAAAGTATTTAGCCATAATTAATAATAAAGAGTAGAAGGAGAAGAAGAGAGAGATCAAAATTGCCACGAAATCCTCGGTAAATCCGAGGAGAACAAGAGAAGAAAAAAGGAGAAAAAGAAGAGACCAACTGTCGCTCGTTGCGATTCTTCGCACTCATTCGAGCGGTCATTGCCACGCTCGGGTCAAATCAACGCTCGATGTCGTCGCGCACTTGGGAATATCGCGATGATCGTTTTCGGAATATTGCACAGTGACCAGAAGCCATCAGCTCGTAACTTATCTCAAAGGCACACACGCCCGCCCGACGATTAACAGTACGCCCCCGGGGGAGCGCTCGATGGTGTCCGCAGCATTGTAAATAGAATTTACGAACGGAGTTCTCGATATTTAATTCCTGCGTGTAACCGAACTCCTCCCCAAAAATTCCGTCGCGCTCCTCCCCGAGAGCCGCTCCTTCTCTGCGTATTGTAAATAGCCTCTTCTCGCGACGACGGAAACGGGTACCGGTTAGTCCACGGTAATCAGTATCTTGTTTGATGTACACAGTATATATGTATACATATACCAGCGTATTACTTGATACTTCTAACAACTTTTTGCGGGGCGAGAGGGTACAGAGCCGCGCGCGTGTCGATCCGGGGCTGATCGACGATAACAAGGATAACGGCGATATATCTCGCCGTACATTTTGTCAATCACGATAATATATTGCATACTAGATGGTCTTATTATTATTATTATTATTATTATTATTATATTATTATTATTGTGTTATTATCATCATCACATTATTTTATTAACATTATTGTATCTCTAAGCGACAATGCTCTTTTCTTCTGTCTCATTACTATTTAATTTACGTTCAGTATTGCCACGAACAATAGCACTTAGCCACAGTCCCGCCAGCGGACTGCCGACTTTTGGAATTCCATTAACTGTATCACCCCCTCACGCTATTGTTGCTCCGGCATATTCGCAGGCGCTATCGATTTCGCAAACCCGAAACGTTCCGCTTTTTATCACTAGCGACACAATTTTACCGTCACAATTATTATTTTATTATTATTATTATTATATTATTTTTATTATTAGAGTTCCCGAGATAATATAATCTTAGTTACTGACTCTATCATTAATATTACGTATAGTTCTGTATAGGCAGGATGGTCCACGTGAGGCAACGCCAAGCTGTCCCCACGGAAACACCCTGTATATACGTATATATGATATTTATCGTCGGATAGTCCGGTTTGCAGAAGTTTGGTGCGTGACAGAGCACGGGATTGGGGAACCGACCGCGGCGACGCAGTGTGAAAGTTGATCAATCGGTAGATTAGCCGCGTGCACAATTATTAATCGATGGCCGATAGGACGGACGAGCCCGAGTATAACAGAAAACCACGATGACACGAAGATGATCGAATCGTGATGGAAAGATGAGTTTTCCTCATCACTTTCACGTCATCATGATTTTCTGTTCTGCCTGAGAGAGACGGCAAATTGCATATCTTCGTACGATCATGTAGAAGATTGGGCAAATTTTACACTGCGGACTGGCATCATTGATGACGTACGATGTATGTCACAAATGTGTATTTCGTTATTCAGATATGAGCGCATGTGTGTGTGTGTGTGTGTGTGTGTGTATGTGTGTGTGTGTGTGTGTGCATGGTGTGTGACACAGCCTTCAAGCTACATATGCTCGCTCGCTCGCTCGCTCGCTCGCCTGTTCGTCCGTTCGCACTTTGGCCGCCTCGGCGAGATTTGCATAAACTTATATCACAGATAAATAAATAAATATATTTAATTAATATTAATATTAATAAATATATTTATAATTAGTATTAATAAATATATTTATAAATAAATAAATATATTTATTTATTTATTCATCCATTGGAACGAAAGTGCAAAGGGAGAAAGAGTGAAAGAGAGTGCGTGTGCAGCTTCCGAAGTTCCACCTGTTCGATCGAGCTCATTGTGTAAATTAGAGCGCGGCTGCGTTATCCGGACATTATCGTTTACTTATTAGCGATCGTTATTAATCGTGGCCTACGGTAAAACGTGGCTGCGCGCTCTTATGTGTATGCGAGAGGTAATAAAGATTAACGTGTAATATACACGCACGTCGATGTACACCACGCTTGCATCGCCTTGCCTCCCGTCCGGAGCGTCGCTCGCTCTCTTCAGGCTCTCCTGCCTTTGCTATCGGTCCGGGTCATCTCGGTCGATGACGTCGGAAGCGAGGAAACGCACGTCCGAGATTCTTGCTAAATATGTGAAAATCAAGATGATGATAAATGAAATGGCACGGTCAGTGATCAAACTTCATCTCAACGAATTTAGGCCGTGCGCTTCGAGCAACTCCTCGTCTCTTCCGACGTCGTGGACGAGGACGACCGCGGCGGAGAACCACGAGCCTTGATCACGTCGAATGACTCTTCGACGGGAGAGAGAAAGAAAGGAGGAAGAGGAAAGTGAGTCCCAGGAAGTGCGAAAAGATTGGGATTTACGCATTGAGACTTTTGTTTCTCCGACCATTTATTGGAAACAACTCTTAAAAGTATAATTTAGCTATCTCATGCTCTCCCCTTCTCTCTTTCGTTCGTTCGCATAGATGCTCAGCTAATCTGTCGCGGCATATCTGTCTCCTCTAACGGTGCCCATCGTCGCCTCGCACCGGCGGCAATTCTCCCTGGGCACTTTAGCGTCGTGGACGATCGAATTCGGCGACGACAACCGGTCAGTCGATCGGTCGCGGCGCTGCAATGTCAAAATGTTAAGAGAGTGCTACACGGCTACGGTTAAACTAATATTCCGGGATACTCTTTATCTGCAACAAAGAATGACGCCGGTATGGTCATGATTGCCCTGTATAGGAGCGGCGTACAAGTATGCCGGTGGATGCGTGCGAAATTTCGACATGCGATCCGCGCTCGTGTGTCCGATCGGCGATCCGATTTTCGTCGGCGGGTGCTTTAGCCATTTTTAGACTTTACTTTGTCGGGCGATTTTTTGCCGAGCGACGTGTACGGCGTGTTCATTAACGCGCGTGCATTTTGTTTTGTTTACTCACTGGAAAGCGAACTGAACGACAATTGTTTGGTCGTGTTGAGCACCTTCGGGCCGGGGTGACGCGGCGTTGACACCCGATACGGTTTCTTTTCGTTGCTGAGTCGTTTCACCTGCAAATAGGATCGCTCGAGTGAGTCGTGAAATCGTAGAGTGCAAAGCCCATATTAACAGTCGTTCGAAATTCGTCTCATAATATGATGAGCTATTTAAATTTGAGTTTAGAGTCCTTGGAGATACGAATTTCTCTCGGATCTGACCGTGAATTCAAACTCAAGCATTGACATGAGTTTCAGGCGACGATTAAAATCGATATGAACCTGCATCTACAAATCCGAGAGGCCCACGTGGGCCCCACAAAACTAGGCTTTAAGCAAAGAGTTGGCAAAAATGCCGTTTTTGCCAACTCTTTGCTTAAAATGGGTTTTGCTAACTCTTGTCTCAAAGCTCGAAGAGTTCCAAGGAAACTTCCTCCCCCGTTAACGTACTGTACAACTTGCTCTCGCCATTGACGCGAACGACACGGCACCTAGAAGGACCGCCGGCGATCTGTGGTGCGAGTTCCGAGTCTCACGTCTTCCGAATCAGACCGCGCACGACGCACCAGGTAGCACGACGCGCGAATCGACAGGATCTCCTTCCTCGACGTGTCGCGCTCGGCGGTCGCGACGTTATCACCGCTTTCTTCTCGAGCCGTCGCCTCGTGATTCTCACCTGCTCGTCAATCGCCGCGAACTGCCATTTCCACGTGTGATTGTAGAGGAAAGGCCGGTGGTCGAAGCGGTTGTCGTCCGGGCTGTAGGTCTCCGCGTGACACGACGGCGTAAGTACCGTCATTTTGTGACGGTGTATGGCGTAACACCGGTAAAAGTGCTTCACCTTGTCGGCCACCTGAAGAGAGGCGATCTCTTGGAGACTCCGCGACGAAGAGTCGATTCGTGTATACCTCCCCATCGTTTCTCCATACGTCATTTATCCTAGACACTCATTCTCCAGGTATTTCATTGTCCCCTACATTTCTCCTTTAGATATTTCATCGTCTATACGGAGAGAATTCTGTAGGAAAAATTACTGCAGAATTTTGTGGACGAGAAACATATCTACACATCCTTCCTTAATTTATTATTCTTTCGTTTTGTATTCTCATCTTGCTAAGAACAGTATAACTTTTACAGTATATTACTTTTACAGTATAAGCACATGATGAACAAAAGGATATGTGCCTCAGTTACAAAATTCCACAGTAATTTTTACAAAATCCTTTCTCCGTCTCCTACACTTAGAAACGAAAATATGGCGAACGAAAAAAGACGTAATAAAGTATCCAAAGGAGAAGCGTTTAATAAAGAGTTTTGTCCCTTGCATTTTCCGTACTGTCTTATAATCTTTCTGCTTTCCTCTTTCCCATCGAGTGCCGGATCTGTATCCACTTAATTTCCAATGCAGGCGGTTCAACTTAGTACCGCTATGAAGGATGAACCTAATGACGCACGGAGGAGCGGTGGGACAAGAGGTGAAACCGCGCATGCTCACTTCCTTCGGCGAGATATGGTCCCATAGGTGTACGAGCCTGCAGAACATGCTGAAGGGCCCGGCGCAATTCTGCTTCCTCAAGCGCCCGAATATCGACAGCTCCTTGTACGTCATACCCATGTCCACCTCGTCCAACTGAGCAAGCTGCCCCTCCTGCAGCGGTTCCAATTCAGCGGTCGGTGGCGCTTGCAGGATGTCATCGAGCGCGGATATCCCGTACTTCTGTCTACGATCAAAAAACGTTAAGCGTGAGTTTAGACACAGTTGGACCCTTATTTCGACTCGCGGAATCGCGATGTCCTTCAAGCCGCACCTGAAGTACACGAGGAACTTCTTGAGGTCGCTCTTGGAGATACCGCCGATAGGATTGATGTCAGCGCTGCTGCAATCGTACTTGGTGAGGTAACCCCGTAACGCTTCGTCCACATTGCTACTGCCCAATACTAAAAGACCGCCCGGTCGACCTCGGACCCACAGGATCAGTTGCGCGAATAGATAAGCGATCACCATCCGTAGTCGCGCCTGGAGGGCGAACGAGACTTTGGTGAGAACCTCGGAAGAGAAGTTCGCCGAGGCGTCGCGGTGGCTACACGTCAACAGTGTTGGGCATTAATCGTTGAAAATTTTAGTCGACTAAAATAGCCGAGATTAACGTTCGAATAAATCGTGATTACATATAGCGATTCTTTCTACCCATCGCTTCGATTTGATCAATTATACATTAGGTTCATACATCACTCCATTAGTAATGAGTTTCGACTGAATTTCATTGCTGAATTAATTTCACTGGTTAAATTGCTCATGATTACATACATGACGGTTGACTAATCAATCTAAACAGATTGATTTGCCGAGTATTCTAGTCGACTAAAGTTCTCATCGATCAATGTCCAACACTGCGCGTTGAACGGGAATTCACAGTCACCTGTACGTTCTGCAGGGCAACGTTCTCACGAGGCGAACCACCGTGCATCCGGAACTTAGGCAATACCCTTGAGACTTGCTGGAAGATCCCTAGGACCGCAGATACCGCGCTGTCGATCACCACACCGTGATGGTAGGAGCCGAGCTGATTAGCCAACTCAGCTGCCCGAGCCTTGGTCTCCGCCGAGGAGTTCTCCGTTCCCATGTAGCAAGTGACCAGTATGAGATTGCACAGCTCTTTCGCGCTCGCCGGTGTATACTCGCTGTCGCCGACAATCTTCCTTACGTCCGCCAAGACCTGTATATCTGGAGGTGAGACAGCGTGAAATTCGTTTTCCTTCTATTCTTGCGCAAAGAGCAGAGTCAATCTTACCACCCCTATTAATCGTGTCGAAGATCATCTGGCACATGGAGTATACTATGCACGCCGAAGCCGAAGAGTCCACACCACCGCTCAACGGTAGAAAGAAACCACCCTGGTATGCGCGTCTGAAACACGTAGACGTGCAAGTACGATGCAGCGACTCGTTTACTTCACTGAGGAGGTGAGCAATCTGATGGCTCACTCGTACCTGAGATAATCCCATAACCAACATGCCGGTGCCATTGCGATTTCCTCCTCAGGGGACTCGAAGTTCAGCTGGCTGTTGTTGTCGTCATCGTCGGATAGATCTAGTGAGGCATTAGGCGGTGGCGGAGACCACAAGAGATTCGCCGAGGTTAGTGCAAACTCGACTTTGACACGCGGGAAATTCTCTGACGCCGCAGCTGCATGCGATCGCGATCGAATGCCGTTGCGATAATGTCTGCACGAAGAGGTTTTTATATAGCTTCCTTCACATGTGAATTCTTCTTGATTTTAGGCTGTCATTTAGAGTTTATATTATTAAGGAACATGGTAAATATTTTAGCAGTACACTTTTTCGTTCCTAAAAAGGATTATTATCATTATTGTTATTATTATTATACTGAATATTTCGATGAAACGAAAGGGTGATCGATTAAGACGAAATATCGACATGTTCTTCAGTTATCTGAAACAACTCGTCTGCCGACCTTATGTCTTCCAAATCGAATGAAGCGACGATCACTTCCACCTCCTCGAGAGCAAATTGCCGGCCTCGACTCAATATGCAACCGTTCAGGGCGATGCTGGAGCCGCCATTGAAGTATAGCCTGTTGCCATCACATCCGCGTAAATTGCTGAACATGTAGCAGCCGCCGGCCTTGAAGGTGGCCGATTTGACGAGGTCCACCGTGACGTAAGCCTTACGTAGTTCGAAGTAGGAGCCACTTCCTTAAGAAAGAATATTTTACGATTCCTACCTTGCGACCGTTAATCTTAATTCCCGCGCGAACTTCAAGATGAATGGCGTTCGAGGATGAATGAACGCGAGGAGAAATCGCGAAACGCGATTTATCACCGTTATTATATTACCGTTCGCAATGATTTCCACGCCATCCAGCGACATGGGGATGTGATTGCTATTCGGGTGCCAGAGCTCCTCGCAAATCTCGAAACCAACACAGGTGTCTATCGTCGCGATGACCGCATCGCCGAACGGCACTACGGACTGCCCGGTGATCTGCGATATCATCCGTGGCAGGAAGTAATCCTCGACGGTGCGTGCCTATAAGCGCATTCAATCAGAGACAGCTCAGACTGTCATGTGCAACGACAGCGGAACCGGCTTCGGCAACCGGATCGATCACCGAGTCTCAAAATTTCTGTGAGCGAAATCTCACTCGAAACGAACGGAAATTCACTGGAGGTGATGGCGAAAATATTGCCACTTGGAATCGCAAGAGTAAACTCCTTCCTCCTTCCTTAATCCTTTGCACTCGAAAAATATTTCCACATTTCCTTTCACCAACTTGATAATTATAAATATATAATTACAAAGTTCCTAGAAGAACTACAAAAAAGGATTTTTATTTCCTTTAATGTTGTCGCCGCATTTTATTGTTTTATTGCTCTTTATTCTTAAGTCTTCTTCGTGCCAGCACAACTGGCATTCCGAGTTGCCGAAATAAGTGTTCATGTCAGCTGTGCTGGCATTCCGAGTGCAAAGGGTTAATAGGATGGATATTGACTTGATAGGAAAAAATGTTCCAATCGATTAGAACCTGTACCTATTAGACGATAGAACATATCAGATTCATCTCAATTCAATATCAAGTAAAAATAATCATTCAATAATCGAGAACAAAAAATTCGCTCCCTAGAGCTAAACAGTCATTCGATTTTGAGAAGACAGAAACTCTGCTGTCACTGTAGTTTGCGAGTGAAATTCCACTCGAAGAAATTTCGAAAATATATATTCGTTCCCGTTTCAATTACTTTCGTCCAGGGAGAGAACCACCTGCTCTCCCTGTAGTTGCCGTCCTCGCAGAGCCGCATCTTCGGTCTGATCAGCAGCAGTCGCTGGTTGAGGAATGCTACTCTGCAGTTGTAGGTGACGTTTTTATGCATGACCGGCATACCCACGTCTATCAACATATCCTCGCAAACACTGGACTTCAACAAACTCGCCAGGACCTCCCAGCAGTGCAACAATGTGTCCGACTCATGAAAATGATCCTCGCAGCTGTAGCCGCTGCAACCGAGAGAACAAACGCGCTTGACGGATCATCGTTCATCTCTCCAAAGCGAGGGACGATTTCTCATGCGAAAACTGGAGGAAACCTCCGGAAGCGAGTTCCAAGAAGTTCCACCTGAAACGAACGAACGTCGAATAAAGCCTCGCTCTCTAGTTACCAAATCTCCAACTCCGGGCCGCTCCTGTAAGTGGCGCCGGCTTCCTTCGCCTCTTGGATGCTCTGCAGGATCCTCCGGTGATTCCCGTCAAAGTCCATCGCCCACTGATTCAACGTGCAAACCGCGACCGTCACCGTGCGCCCCATCTTGTGAGTCGGCGGTCGTGAACGCGCGCGATCTTATTCCTTATCAACAGGACTCGGTGTTATCTGAAACGGACAAACGCGGTTCCGCCGCTGCCGTTAATGCCGAGATTGAGTACCCCGGCGAGGTTTCTGCCGGGCCAAGGATCGCAACGCGAGGGCAAAAGAAAGAGAGAGAAGAAAGAGGTTCTCGACGGTTCAACCTGGCAGCCGTGTTATCACCGACACTATCATCGTCTCGCATACGATTAACGCCGCTGTTATCGCGAGCGTATCGAACTGTTCAGAGTCGGCGGTCGCGTGCGAGCCCGATGGAACGATTCTGAAGCAGACTGCCGACTCTATCAATCGAGATCCCATCGATCGCTGCCGGGATGATAGCCCGCTTCGGCTCGCCGGCTAGTCTGGAACGCGTTGATTGATCAATAGTCCGGAAAACCCGGCGCCAGCCCAAGCAGACCGCCTTCCGCTCCGTGGCAACCCTCGAGGACGCCTGGGCCAGCAGGCGATCGTCCTCGGGCGAAATTCTGCCGGACGCCCTCGGGATCGCGAGGGCTTTGCAACATCGAGAAAAATGGATGCTCGCTGATTTTTACCGATCACTTGAGTAAATATGTAAGTAAAACGCGATATACACATTCGGTAAGTAAACGCGACATACACATTCGGCAGCTCGTTTCATTCTTGTACAAATTCCTTCTAAATTTTGTACAAATTTCTTTTATCGCAGGTTAAATTCGTGATATCAATTAATGAGGCAGTCACCGTGTCGAGAAAGTGAATCAGTCCGAAGTAGCTGATTTCCAACTTACTAATTGATAGGAGAAGAATTTCTCACAGGATGTTTACTCCAATCTGGAAAAAAAATTTCCTGACTTTTCCCTGATTTTCCAGGCAATTTGTTAAAAGTTCCAGGTCAAATAAAAGTATTTTTTTAACCGTAAAATTTGCATTTACTATAAAATTTGATTAAATCAGAGGTGATGCCTGTAACTTTCATTTGAGGAAATATTTTTAGGATTTCCTTAAATGGAATTTTTAGGCCTCACCTCTCTAAATCAATCAAAGTTTACAGTAAATTCTAATTGTTACTGTTTCCCAAAAATCTACGAATCGAGCAGAGGATTAAGTGTCTTATAAATGAATATATATATTTATTGTGCAACTCGTCCTTATATTTTCGATTTATAAAAGTTTAAACGATACATAAAAGTTTGTCGATACATAACAACGTAAATTACACTACCCAGCGAAAATATAATAAAAATTTACGTTGCACTTTAATATTAAAGAAATTTTCGATTATTTTTTTAAAGTTGCAATTTGCTCTTGAAGCGCTTCTGCTTCTTTTTGCGCACTTTCTAAAATTTGCATACGTTTCATTTCTAACTCCTTTGCTTCTAAATTCTTTTTTCTTTTCAAAGACCTTTCCTGTTCTATATTATTATAATATAAGAAAATTTTAAAAAGAACAAATTCAAAAAAATTCCCTGATTTCCAATAAAAGTCCCTGACTTTTCCCTGATTTTCCAGGTTTTTCCAGGCAGTAAACACCCTGTCGTAAAGGCGTCCGAATTTCTCAGAGATGTACGCGGTCGTCTCCGCACAGTCAGAACCGAGAATCTACAAATAAACGAGGTATTGCAGCATGAAGTCGACAGAAGTCTCGTCGCTGACGAGCGGTCGGCGGTTCGAGTATAAAAACTTTGCTCGAGACCGCTTCGCCGCCTTGTACCATACGGGGAAGATCCTCGTGTCTCGCGTCAATTACTCGCGGTCCCTTCGGCGCAACAAGTCGAACCCCAAAATAGAACGCGGACGACGCATCGGGGGTGAGCCGATCGACACGTGATAACAGTCGCTGTGCGAGGCAGACCCGCGAGTCTCCAGACGAGGACGCGCTCTCGTCCTCAACGTCCCTGGACGACGGATGAAGCAGTCGCAGAATGAATCGTTGAACGCAGATCGAGCAACCCTCTCCGTCGGTATTTCCCCTTACGAGTCTATGAGTCGCGGAGAAACGTCAGTGGGGCCAAGTTAGCGAGCGCACGAGGAGTCGGCGATATTATGTCGATGAGCCGCGCCGGCGGCGGCGGCGACCTTCCTCGACGAGACGGGCTTTTAACGAACGATCGTTCCCCGGCTGACTCCGCCCACGATCGCGACGGTTGTCAGGCAATCATTCGCGGAACGTTTCGCGATCCTCGACCAAGCGGCCCGAAACGTAGCCTCTGCGCGCGTTCCGGGCGAGGAGCCGACCAGAAGCAGACCTTCGCGCCGAGCAAATCGCAGTGCGAATCGCACCCTCCTGTCGGTCCCACCTGCTGGCACCCTCTAACGCCGTCAAAGTCCCTCCGTCCGCTCGGCTTCGACGCTCGCGATCCGCTCGGCGATTTCAATCGGTGAGTGGCACGATTGGGTCGGCCCAAAGTTTCGGTCAAAATTAACCGCGCGGCGTTTTGAACTCCTCTGGCGTGGTGAACTCCTGGGTTCATCTCGTCCATATTTCTATTTCTACACGGAAAACAGCGAAAATTGTCCTATTTGGAATTTCTCGAATCCTTCACTTTTGGGTCTTTTAGGGCAAACTTTGGAGCATATTGACGTTCCACGTTAATTGATTTATTATCCTGCTGTTTCGTATTTATATAATTTGTTCTTGCATCGCTAGCGATAAAGAGAGTGATCGCAATGCGATAAAGAAAAAATCAGATTGAAAAGAGTTTATACGAAAAAGTCTGTGACATTTCTCTCATGTAAAAATATATTCTTCTACTTCGGCAAATGAAAATAGAGGCTCTGTTGGATGGAGAGGGATCAATAAGAACTTTAAGAGAAAGGAGTTACTGAGTAGTTAATGAAATTAAAAAATACATACAGTAAAGTATCTATTTTTTGGTTCGTCCACAGTGCTTAGACTTTTAACGATCCATCTTCTTTTTCTTATTTTTTTGCTTCATTGTTACTTTCATCCCTTCTCGAACTTATCGGCTATCTCGGCGATCGTGCGAGTGTCGTTCCAAAGGAACGAGCATACCTAACCGATTTGAATTTGCACACTGTTCACAGGTGAAGAAGGACACCAAGGAGCGAAGATCACTGGGGAGGATCGGCTGAGGCCGTCGAGAGGAGGAAGTAGAGCGCAGAGCGCGACATGAGGGTCTCGTGAGCCAGGTCGCGGAGGATGAAGAGCCCGATCGTGGACTATCTCCTCGGGGAGGAGGTGTCGGCGAGGCGAGATCGCGGGAATGCCGCGAGCGGCAGGATATCGTCGGCGGTGTTCGACGCGGACGATCGTGACGAGCAGGACGAGGACGAAGCTGACGAGAGATAACGAAAGATGACGAAGGCGGTGTCGAGCAGCAGAGTGAGGGAGCTTCAGGCCATGCTGTTCCCGGTTCAGCCTATCCCCGGTGAGCTCTAACGCGAGGAGACGCAGGTACGAGGCTCGACCTGACGAGGTCGAGCGGCTTAATTCCCGTCCTGACGAAGAATCAAAAGCCGAGCGACGAGTTCGCGATGAGTTATTCGGAATCACGACGCGCGCGGCGGAGGGCTTGCACGGACGTTGTACCCTGACGCGGACATCGATCCTTCGCGAGCGCTTGTGTGACGTAATGTCTTCTTCGTTGGCAGCCTATCATTATGACACCTGCACAGTTACATCGGCGCGAATAATTCAGCCCCGCGAACGCCGAGATTGCGTTGCCAATTTGCACGAACTTTGCCTGGCGTAATTAAGCCTTGGCACTCGGAGCTCCGAGTTGTGCCCGTCGATACGCTTCACGTTGAGACGCGCTACGAGCGTTAAGAGTTACAAGTGGTCGTCGCTCGAGCGACCTGCGAGACACCGGAGATTGTTCGGGCAATTAAGAGTTCTCGCAAATGAGGGTTGGATTGCCTTCCACCTCGGTTTCCTTTCCTTTCCCTAAAAGCAAGGGGAAGCCTCGCCCGACTACTCGCTTTTTCATCTTTAATTCGTCAATCGATTGATTGGTTGACTGATTGAAGTCGACCGAACACGTCACTGATAAGTTGATAAATGTGGAATTGAAATTAATTGGCCGATTCAATTTGGCTTCGTCAATTTTGCAAAATTCGCGACACGAACACACCTCTTTTGTCTCGTGTACTTCTGCTACGATCAATTTCTTTGAGTAAATCAAACGATTGGGATTCATCGAAAATGAAGCGAGTGACGGAACTCGCTAACAAGTTTCTCGCGATGTCGCAGGTGGCATGCTCTCCGAGCTGCAGGTGCCACAGGAGTTGCAAGTGTCTCCGCTGGAACGTTACGACAGCTCCGTCTTGAGACGGGAGATAGAGTCAGCGCTGTTCGGGATACCTTTGGGTCTGTCCCAGCATCGATACTCCAAGGAGACACTCCGAGCAGTCCTCGATGCACGCTGCATCGTCGATGGGAGTATTCAGGAGGCGGCCAGATGGCCGACCGAGTGTCAAGTAAGAAACGATCATGCTGATCCTTACTCCTTTCTTTACTATCACTCATTCTCTCTCTCTCTCTCTCTCTCTCTCTTTCTCTCCCCCTCTCCCCCCCCCCCTCTCTCTCTCTCTCTCTCTCTCTCTCCTCTTTCTCGTGTTATTTTTATCAGCTCATCTTGCAACTAAGCGAACCTGCATTTCACCCACATGTTTTCTCGCAGGTGGTCCCAGAGCGAATCCGCCATATCGAAAACAACTCGAGCATTCCGGAGGCCTTTTACGTCTCAACGGGAAAGGAGCCGAGGCCGAAGCCGATCAGCGACGAGCTCGGAACGGTGATATTTCGCTACTGCCCGACCAACGTCACTAATTACGTAGGTCACGATGATAACGCGGTCTTCAAATTGCGCTCTCTCTTTCTCTCTCTCTCTCTCTCTCTCTCTCTCTCTCTCTCTCTCTCTCTCTCTCTCTCTCTCTCTCTCTCTCTCTCTCTCTCTCTCTCTCTCTCTCCCTCTCCCCCCCCCTCTCTCTCTCTCTCTCTCTCCTTCTCTTCACGAAAAGAACATTAAAGCTCTTCACGAAAAGAACATTATAGCTCTGGTGGATATTACGATAAATTCTCTTGAACTTCGCCGTGTTTTCTAATACTGACTAAGTACTGTGAGAATAAGTTGTCAGCGAGCTTATCTTGCCAAGAGACATGGTAAACTTCTCAACAAGACTGTAGTTTCTGAAATAAAAATGGTGCATGCAGCAGCGGTGGATGATCGATTAAGGCCGGACCTCGATGCGTTCCTCGGTCATAAAATTCTATAATGATCTTCACTATAAAGCTCTCTCCGTGTTTCTTTGGCGTAGCACGACGGCGTCTCGCTTGAGGGCTCTGAGTAAGCTCAAGTAGTAGAGCAGAATGCACCAAACAAGAGCAAAGTTAAGGGAAGAAAGAAAGAAACGTTTATTGCACGGCAAGGTCTTGATGTACTAAAACGGATGGACTCTGTCATTTCCACAGTTCAGCCGATCTTGCGTGGGTGGGAGCACGGTGTTGCCGTTCCCTACGGATTTCTCCGGAGAGTCGAGCGCGGCGGATAACAAGGAGACCACTAATGAGAACGATATCTTCTTCCTCGCCGAGGCGTCCAGCCGCCCGAAGGAGGACAGCACGGATCTGCGCTTCGAGTCAAGGTTCGAGTCCGGCAATCTCGGCAAAGTGGTGAAGATAACCGACACGTATTATCAGCTCTATCTCCGAAGGGATCTTTACACCCAGAGGCATACGCAGTGGTACTACTTCAGGGTGTCCAATACGAGGAGCAGAATCACGTACAGGTGCGCGATCGGAGCGAAGGAGAGTACGTTTCGACGGGTTCTTCCAGCCGAGGGATATTAGACCGGCTTGAAGAATGGAAAGCTTCTCGAGGAAAATGCCTAAAGACTCGAAAAGAATTGATGGAACAAACTGATTGTACAGATCGCAAGTGTTATAATCTCCGTTTCAGAGGAATGATTCTGCTTACGTTTGCAGATTCTCCATCGTGAACATGTGCAAAGAGGAGAGCCTCTACAACGAGGGCCTCAAGCCGCTGCTCTACTCTACCGAGGACGCTCGCACTCGGTCCATAGGATGGCGGAGGTGCGGCGACAACATCACGTACTACCGAAACAACGATTCATCGTGAGTACTTTTGGAGGTCTAGCTCGTGTCTCGCGACGCGTGTAAGAGCTCGCGCGAAATCCTTGCAGAAACGACGAGGAGCGAGAGAGGCACACGCTGACGTTCAATATCTCGTTCCCCCATGACCGTGACATCGTCTACCTGGCCCACTGCTACCCTTATACGTATACCGACCTGCAGGTAGATATCGACTATAACACTCGAAAATCGCCGAGGTCCCACGTGTAAAAGTGAAACTTATCGTGATTCCTTATCCGGAGAGAAAATTGCAGCCTTCTTTGTATACTAATTATTTTGAATCTCACTATATTTTTTAGTAACGGAGGAATAGACTGCAAAGAAATTGATCTTTCTAAGGAAGGCAGATTCGATGTCTCAGCAGTAGACTTCAGTTTCGAAAATGCTTAAATAGCACGCGCGATATACGCGGAAGGCTAACAAAGTAAGACACGGCATGTCCGTGAGAATACCCGCGCATTTCTCCGCGGGAAGGTCGCTTATCGCGCTCGCGATTGCATATTTACCGCGCCCCGCCGCAGATCCGATCTCGCTCTCGCTAATTACCCTGGCGTAAACACGCCAGGAGTACCTCGGCAGGATCGTGGCCGACCCCGCAAAGACGAGGTTCACCAAGTTGCGCCTGCTGTGCCGCAGTCTCGCCGGGAATGGCGTTTACTACTTGACGATCACCGCACCGATGCACGACGACGAGGCGCGCCGGAAGCGCGGTGTCATCATCACCGCTCGGGTGCATCCCGGCGAGACGCCTTCCAGCTGGATGATGAAGGGCATCATCGATTTTCTCACCGGTGACACGAATCGCGCCCGAGTAAGACTTGTCCGCGGTCCTCAAAATGCCCCGGGTTGCCGCAGAGGAATAATCTCGGGTTTCATTTCTGTTGAATTCTCTCTGTTGAATTCTGTTGAAGTAAAGTAAGCTTGATGATTCCATAGTTATCAAAGAAGAAATAGGAGAAGCTCCATTGGACGCTTATCATTTTTACGACTGAGGCGGATCCTCCGCGGCAACCTCACCGAAACGTACACGGATGGAATATCATTGCTCCCTTCATGCAGATTCTTCTCGCCTTCGCCAATTTGATCTCGAACTTTCTAACAATGAGGAAATAGACTGCCAGCAGAGTTTATCTTTTAATAAACCTAGTAACTTTTCCTTATAGTAAATTTCAGTCCCTGAAATGCAAGTAATTCGTATGAAAGTAAGTATAAAGTAGAAAGTAAGAGAAAATGTCGACATGTTCCTTGGCAGAGCAAAGAGATTCCAGAATTTTCACTGTGAGATTCTCTTCGTGTACGAGACGTTGGTACCTCAGCCCGCGTCTCGCGACTCGAAGCTGAACACAAGGTGTGATCGCGCAGGAGCTGCGGGAGAGATTCGTTTTCAAGCTGGTGCCGATGCTGAACCCAGACGGCGTGATCGTGGGCAACAATCGTTGCTCGCTGTCCGGGAAGGACCTGAACCGGCAGTATAGGACCGTGATGAGAGAGAGCTACCCGTCCGTGTGGCACACGAAGCTGATGATCCGCCGGTTACTCGAGGAATGCGGCGTGGCGATCTACTGCGACTTGCACGCTCACTCGAGGAAGCACAACATCTTCGCCTATGGCTGCGAGAGCAAACGAGCTGGATGCAACGGCAAACTGTCGGAGCAGGTGTTCCCGCTGATGCTCCACAAGAACGCAGCCGACAAGGTGAGACGAAGCGACCTCGATCCTCTTAAGTACCTTCGCCGCGCGATGTCAACGTCAGACCACTTGAAAGTCCAAATACTTGCTGAGTTTCACTGGAAAAGTGATTATCGAGTCGAAAATTCCTCGAAATTGAAGAATAAATCTGATGTAGCAAATTCACCCTGACCGATCGGAACGTTTGCTCACATCGAATCAGAGTACACTCTTCAGTGAGATTCCACTCCCAGGAACTCGAAAAGTACGAAAGTCAGGGTCAAGTCGGTGGTGACTTTCAAAGACCACGAACGTGGAAGAAAGGGGAGGAAAACAGATCGTCGAAAATTGTGTGTGACGACGGTCTGCGGTTTGGTCTGATTACCCGGTGGCTCCGCCGACTGCTGCGCGAATTACGCCCAAAGTCTCTCCTTTTGTGCTTGCAGTTCTCCTTTGAGAACTGCAAGTTTCACGTCGAGAAGGGAAAGGAAGGCACCGGCAGGGTGGTCGTGTGGTCGATGGGCGTACAGAACAGCTACACCATGGAGGCATCAATGGGCGGCTCCAAGATGGGCTCAAGATGCGGAACTCACTTCTCCACGCAGGACTACGAGCAGATCGGCAAGGCCTTTTGCGAGACCCTTCTCGATTTTTCCGATCAGGATCCCACGAAGGTAACACCGTCTCGGTTGACGCCTCGACACGGCGTGTGTTCGGCGTTCCCGTCGACCTTGACACTCACGACACCGAGGGGAAGGTTGATCGAATTAACACGCCAACGGACAAATCAATCGCGTTAACTCGACGAATCTTTCCTGCCTGCGTGGATGAACACGATCGAGAGTCTCGTCCGCTTCGTGTGCTCCACGTGCAAACGTCGTGTCGCGATTTAACGTGGCTTTTCGCAAAGTTCACTCCCGAAATTCCCCGTAAGATTCATCGCGCTAATGCGCGTGGATGATTATTTTACCCGCGAGACCAAATTGTCATCCGCGAGAGACCGTCGTGATTCCCGACGGAGAAACGCTGACGTCACGCACGCCGTGGCGGTGTTAAATCGATCGAGCCTCGTCGCGATTCTCTATTCGACGGATCTTTTTCACGCGCGCACCCCCGCACCCTCGCACGGACTCACGCTCCGGTAAGTAATATGTACACGTGGAGTTATTTTCATCGATAATGGAATTCCAATCGGTCCTCGATAAATTTAGAAGCGCCCGGCAATTGTGTCGTCCGACACAATGGCGCGCGGGAACGTCAGGCGCGTCGTTATCCTTTATCGAGGATCGACTAAATAAAGATAATAAATGTGAGAACTCTGAGCGCGCGATTGCATAACATTTCAAGACACCGGATCGACCTTGTCCCCGAACGCCAAACGTCAAACGTCAGGAGAGACTACGGAATAAGATTATAGCCAGACTGACGAAGGAAGGATCCAACGCCGAGGAGCCCACCAATATCGACCTGACCGATTACTCCAGGTGACTAACTTTCAACCTCCCGGCCCCCGCGACTCTTACCCTCTAAATTTCTCTCTAAACGAGTGGAAATATTCGCAACGACGATCCAGATGTTTTTCATATAGATTCTCTTCTCAATCTTATCGTGTCTTCTAAATCGCGCAGGAACAAACGTCAGCATAATTCATCTTACTAAATAATAAATGTCGCTAAGAACATAGTAGACTTCTTTCAGCAACAAAATTCGGTTCTTAAGATATAAATATGAAACGAGAGGATTATGAAGCAGGATGCTGTTGGATTGCAAAATTCTATAATAATTTTTATTATAAAGTTTTCTCTCTCTCTCTCTCTCTCTCTCTCTCTCTCTTTCTCGCTGAATACTCCAAAAAATTTAATCAATCCAACCGATCTAATTAGCGACGAGGGGGACACCTCGCAAGAAAGCTTTTTGTCGGACGATGAAAAGATCGAATACACGGACGTCGCATGGGCCAGCGAAGGTGGCGAACTCCTGGCGAATCGTCGGCGGTACCTCTGCGTACCTCCGCCGTCACCCACCTTTGTTCCGCCGAGGAGCGTCGGCCTCTGCAGAAGGAGAGCGCGGAGGGACATCGCAGGCAGGATTTATTTGGAGCGTAGGAGAATCCTGGTACGTATTGTTGTTGTATCTCGAGATCAACGAGCGAGTTGATCAGTATGAGAAATCACCGAGGTTAATTAATGGGACGGCACATCTGATAGCAAAAGAGCCATGAATTTCTTTCCGATATGTTTTTCTATGCGAGTACAGATATTAGATTAGATTGGATCACTCGAGACTGGAGTGAACTTGTTTCTGCGACGACAATGTCACTCTTTCATTTCAAATGAAAATATTGACTCAACGATTCAGAGCGAAGAACGAGCGAAAAACTACTCAGACTCGAGTGACTCCGCTACCGCGCTGTTTGCTTGGAATTTCATTCTGACAAGTTTACAAAGTTCCATCTCCATCACTTCGACAGGCACGACGAGCGGTGATGGACTTGCCGACGACGGATCCAGGCAGTGACCTCTGCGACCTCACCGATTCGGCAGACGAGAATTTCGTCAGGAGCGAAGGACGAGAATGCGAAGGTAACAACTTGTCTGACCCGATCGTATGAGAATATAAACCTGCACAACCATCAATCCCGTAGTTTGGAGACGAACGTCGCGTGAACGTCGCGAGGAGATCGTCGATCTCTCCGAAACGGCTGTTGCTGAAAAGGAGGAACGACGGAACAAGGGGCTGATCCTGCCGGAGATCGTGAGACCTCGCAGTGTATCCTTCGGGGAGATCCTGCCGCGCAAGGATCATCGAAAGACTCGTCAACGAACACGATGTCTTCGGTATGGCATAACCGAGCGACAAAAAGATTTTCGGTTCGGTTAATTAAATAAGGACCAGGAGAAAATTCAGTAACGGGAAATAATATCTCTGTCATCGCGATTGAGAAAATTATGCATTAAAACGCGGTCGAGACAACTGAAAACATTCAACTGATTAGAACTTCCCACCGGAATCTTCCCGCTTCTAAATTTCTTGCAGCGGAATCTCAGTCAAAACGAGCGGGAAATGGCGCGATTTTTTCATTCGAAGCGATTAAAAATATTTAGTCGACGATGGAGAATTCGCTCTATATGAGTGGAAGTTCCTCGAATTCGAGCGATTCGCTAGTGACTTCTTTCAGGTGAAATCTCGCCCCAAGAAATTTAGAGAAAGAGAGTTCAACCGAATTGGAGAAAATTATGTATTAAAATGCGGTCGAGACAACTGAAAGCATTCAACTGATTAGAACTTCCCATCGGAATCTCCCCGCTTCTAAATTTCTTGGAGCGGAATCTCACTCAAAACGAGCGGGAAATGATCTATGTGAAGCTGGCCCCTCATTATCAAAATTTGAAAAAAATGATTAGAGTTCTAGTTGCCTCCCGAAGAGTTCTAGAGTTCTCAATCGGATTTAGAAATAATTCTGGCGTTTTAAGCAGTCAAAAAGGCAATTGAAAAAAGGGGGAGGCAACTTCACAAAACCGTCCACTTTAGCGAGCTAGAACTCTTTCATGTCCGCTCGAATCGATTCAAGTCACGAGGGAAATCGATAGGACTCTTCGGAAGGCCACCAGAACTCTAAAAAAATTGATCGATTTTTGAAAAAAAATTTTCTCCTAATTGGACTTAGAAAATTCGGCATCGACGATACTCTGATGAGCTACAACTCTTTCATTTCCGCTCGAATCGATTCAAGTCATAAGAAAAATCGATAGAACTCTTCGGGGGGCCACCAGAATTCTAAAGAAACTGACCGATTTTCGAAAAAAATTTCTAAGTCCAATTAGGAGAAAATTTTTTTTCGAAAATCGGTCAGTTTCTTTAGAATTCTGGTGGCCCCCCGAAGAGTTCTATCGATTTTTCTTATGACTTGAATCGATTCGAGCGGAAATGAAAGAGTTCTAGCTCGCTAAAGTGGACGGTTTTGTGAAGTTAGCCCTCCCCTTTTTCAATTGCCTTTTTGACTGCTTAAAACACCAGAACTATTTCTAAAACCGATTGAGAACTCTAGAACTCTTCGGGGGGCAACTGGAACTCTAATCATTTTTTTCAAATTTTGATAATGAGGGGCCAGCTTCACATAGGTCGGGAAATGGCGATATTTTCATTCGAAGAGATTAAAAATATTCAGTCGACGATGCAGAACTCGCTTCACGTGGTCCCTATTCCTCCCAGGCAAGGGAAAATCCAGTTATATTGTGGAAATGATTCTTTCCGCGTGAATTGTTGACCAAAGTCCGGCAATGAAATTTCAACGTGGACACTCTGATATCTGACCGATCGATTTGTCAGCAGAGCGCTGAGGAATCCGTCGCCGGTATCACCGACGAGTCAAGAGGCGAGGATCAAGCTAACGTCACTGAGGCAACAGATTTGGACAGGTGTGCCGTGCACCGCCACCGCCGGCGAGTGCATCGACGCGGCACGTCAGGCCGACGCTTTCGTAAAGATTCCGTTGAGCTGGGGTGTTTCCAGACACGCTCTGATGCACTATCCCACGGACAGCGAGGCCACGCTAAAGTGAGTTTAACCACTTCACTTATCGCGTACTCGCAGCTTGAGGATATGCGTGTGCGGTCAAGGACGATGTTTGCAGTCCCATCTTACACTTAGGGCTGTCTCAACGCATTGCTGAGCGAATGTTAAAACAAGATTGCCAACAATGTTGGCTTGAAAAATATTAGAGACTGCTGGTCAATGATTAGTTTCAACCTTAAGATGTACAGTCAATAAAACAACCATGCAATTTTAAGTGAAAATGTATAAGACAATCTTAAAATATAAAACTGATCTATGTGAATTTCGACCTGCGTCCTGCATTGGATCGCTTAAGAATTTGTTTACTAAGCCACGCGTGAATTCACCATTTGTTTGATGTTTATATTTTTTATTTGATATTTTTAGAAAGATCATTCTTGATGAGGGAAAAATATCGTCATTAGTCAATTAATCAAACTTTGATCTTTTCACTCACTGCATTTTTAGACTACAGTCCAAGAAGCCGCAGTCACTAGCCTACGAGGAGAGCAAGGTCGATTCGAGGAAGACGCGGCGAAAGTCGCGGCGGAAGCGACAGGGCGTCGCCGCAGAAAGCCTGCCGGCGCAGCTGAAGGAGGTCGTGGATCGCGCAGATGGCTCGTCCAAGCCGTCGTCGAAGAAGAAAAGCTCCAAATTCGACTGGGTCCAGCGGGCGGTAAATTTCAACTCCCGCATGAAAGACGCGAGAGGCGCGAAGTCTTCGTTCCTCGCGATCGAGGCGGACTCGCTGAAGCTACTGACTGCGTCAACGACGACTCCGAAGAAGCAGCGAGTGCAGTCGCAATCGCAGCGGCCGCGGAAGCTCGAGCCGCGTAGAAAATTTCGCGGCATCGGCGTCGTGGCGTCCACGTGCGTAGATGTCATCAACAAGACCGGCGGCAAGGTGACGAGACAGCCGCCGAGGACACCGACGACGCGATCACGCCGTGATGCGCTCTTCCGCTGCGAGAGCTCAACGTCGGATGACGCGTCGTCGTTGTACGACGTCTCGAGCAAGCCGAAGACCGTGAAGAAGAAACAGAAGAAGAAGAAGCAGCAGCAGTTGTCGAAGAAGCAGCCCCCGGCGAACAGAACGACGGAACGGAGGAAGCGCGCCTGCAGTGCGAAAGCGTTGCGCGATAATGTTTGAGAAAGGAGAAAAAATAACGCAACAAACTGCCCTCGTAGATCTCGTAAGATAACGTCTCCGCGTGTACAGAGGATTTTACACGTCTATAAAAGGAGGTCTTTAAAAAGTCCACCACGTTCCTCTGCGAGAAAAAGGAAACTATAAACATGTTGTCCACTTTTCGACAGGTTTATCAAATCAACTTTCTCCTGTTTTCCTCCTCCCGAAACCCCGGGATTTAATTAACCGACGCGCGAAAACCGGTCATGGTATAAAATTCAAAATATACATATATAACTTATTACATAGAGCAACTTATTATATAATAATATATTGTAAACAAGAAGAGAGAGAGAGAGAGAGAGAAAAAGGGATCTCTCGGTCGTAGTATAATAAAAGGGGAATATGATACGACACATTAGTACAATAAATCCTCTACCGAGAGGCGACGATTTCACATCACGTGGAAGCAGTGACATCGAAATGTCGCGCCACCCGCTCGCGATGTTACCATGGCGACCCGATGGACGGGAGTAAACAATTCGCGCGCTTCGTCGCATCGGCGCCGATCACGTGGCTCGCGCGCGACGGAAGCACCATTAGGTTAGATGAAGAATCGCAGATAACCTGATGGAATATACTATACGGCACAGCCGGCGATCGGCGATCCTGACGAGCACACTCGACGTCGGACGGCGACGCGACACGAATGAACGTCGAAGCGTGACACGAGGTCTGTTCTTTTCGCGGCTCAATTAGTACTGCACTGAAATTCCATCTCTTTTTTTTCTTCTTATCGCAAATTGATACGCTTACTTCACTCTAACGGTAAAAAATGCAACCTAGTTCAGCTGAAGAGAACAGACCAACGACCACGTCACGGGTAGGAAGATGTCTTTACCTGCGATATCCGTGGGTGTCGATCAACAAACGAGCAAAATGCGGCGCATATTCTCGGTCGCTCACTATGAACAGGAGGTTTTGCCGTTGGGAGCGCGTGACTTAAGGAAGACAGTCGCAGTACTTCGAGACACAATGCTCGACGCTGTCGAGTTGTTGTTACCGCGAGGCTAGTTTACGCTTCGAGTGGTCAACTCACACAGAGAGGCGGCTCGCATCGGAAATCGCGCGATTCTTGTGCCGTCATCTGGCGATGGGAAGTCGCATCCGTGAACGCGGCAGATTCAAAAGTCTCTGCTTGATGGTCTTGCAAGAGCGATGTCACTGACGAAAGACTATTGGTCTTACGAGATTCAGCGTACCAGAAAAGTTCATGCCAATTTTAATTAAAAGATTTTAATTACTTGATGATTTTTCGCTTAGTCTCTCTGTTGCATTATATTGTACGCTAATGCTTTATTTCTCATAGCTTTTTCACAGCTGGATAATAATAATAATGATATTAATAATGTTAAGATTAATATGATAATTAATATTTTGTTTTTATTTGAGTTTAATTTGGTCTATATAAAGAAAAAAATATAAACCATATTTAAAACATAATTAACTGTTTTTCACAGAATATTTCCTTGCCGGTATAACGGTATATACATATATGCGCAGTCATTGACACGTATGAAACACATATTTGACCAGAGCGACATAAGGCAACTTTGTTTCTATGTCATTTAGGAGTCGGTGTGTTCCGCGCTAATTAATTATTTATTATTTATTATTCAACTAGACACATATTAACACGCTCACTGAATCAAGAAATTCACGCGAGTTGAGCGATGCTTGCGTAAAGCATGGGACCGAGAGTTTACTTTCCACGAAATAAACACTCTTCAGACAATCATCGGTGTTGGTTTATATCCCCGTGCAGAAGGATGAGAAAATCATTCATTTGCCATATTTTGCACTTTTTGCACTTTTTGCACAACGTGCAAACGCACGCGTAATGCACATATGCACAAGAAACTTCGTTAAATATGCATCACATGAGTACGCATTGGACAAAAATACACAATATAACGCATACTATATGTCAGGTCATCGAGCGTGACCTGAACATCCGCTGATTGTCAGTCACAGACATTCGTTTCTTTCTCTCACAGAGGAAATATAATTACGTATTTATGCGGAAACGATTTGGATGTCGCGTCGCATGTTCGTCGCAACACCCGCGAAATCGAACTGATTTTTTTTTATCTAGTTCGCCGCAAGTTGACAGAAGTTCGCGATCCCGTGGACCAAAGGCCGATCGCCGGGTGGATGCAGCATGACGTCTTCGAGTAATTATTAATGTGTTCAGAACGTCTGAGAGTATTTCCCAGACATTTTGGACGATATTGTTTAGGACGATATTGGGGTGTTCTGCGCTTTTTCTAATGGTGTTAATCGAAATCGATGATCGCGAGTTGTGGAGCACATAAAAACTTGTCTGTTGCTTTTGTTCAGAGCTCATTAATTTATCTTTAACAAGCCCAAATGTTACTTAAAGGGGTGTTGTTAAAGGGATGAATGAGATAGAAGAGAATATCATACTTTTATATACAGGGCGATCCGAAACAATTCCTTGTCCTTAGTATACTATAGCTTGAACAAGTTCTAAGGTCATTTTTCCTCTTCGAAAATGTTATCCGATGCTTAATTACAGAATTATTAAAATAAACACTTTGTCTATTACATGCCGGATACAGAAGCCAGGCAGGGACGGAACAATTGACTATTTACGCGCGCGCCATTTAGGCGCTGACGTTAGGCGCTTGGTACGTCGTGCTGATCGATGCATGTAATAACATTCACACACATATTTTTAAAACTTAAAAATTTCAACGTAATGTTTGAGAGTAAAATATCCGATATTGCGCGAGCTTTTTTTAACTGCAAAATAAACTATAAGAATACGAACGAGAAGAACGGAATGTTGTTACGTTTAGAAAGTATAAGTTAGAAAGTATAAGATATTCTTACTTTTAAGTGAATCTACGAATTTATACTTTAAGTTATTCTTAATTGAATCTACGAATTTATTCTTTTGTAAAGATTGTCTATCTAGAGATTAACAATTTTGATCACTTATTAGCGCACCTTCGTTCCCGTAAGATTAATGAGTTTTATTTTTAATTTTACGTCCGATTTGATCGCGGGTTACTACTGTGATCAAAAAGTATCCGAACTTTATTTCTTAAAAATCGCGGGTAAATTTTAAATCAAATCCGTTTGCTTTCTTCAGTTGTCTACACATGTCCTTCACATTTGGTGAAAAAATCATGGCGTTCCTTCAAGCCCTTTGAAAGTGGCAGTTGTTTATGTCAATGAAGATTGTTGTGCACGGCGATTTTTATGATGTCGAAAATTACGGAGCAAAGAATTTGTTTGAAATTTTATGTTGCAAACGAAATTTTGTTCAAACGCATTCAAAATGTTGCAAAAAGCTTATGGCGATGATCGTTTATCGAAAACAAGTACGTTGAGTGGTTTAAGAAGTTTCAAGAAGGATAAAAATCCGTTAAAGACGACCCACGCTCTGGAAAAAGCATTAACGTCAACGGATGACGCTCAACTGGTCAAAAAGTCAATGCAAAATACTACTTGTCCGTCATGAGGCGTTTGCGCAAAACAATCCGATAGAACAATCCGCAAAACATTAAGAAACGATCGGAATCGTGAGAAAATAACTCGTGGATTTTGCATCACGATAACCACCATACCTCGACACTTATACGTGAATTTCTCACAAAAAACTCAACGAATGTTGCTTTATAAGCATCATATTCATCAGACGTAACCCTCTGCGACTTTTTCCTGTTCTCTCTACTGAAAATACTTCGCAGACAGCATTTCGAATCGATTAAAAACATCAAAGAAAAATCGTTACGTACATTGAAGGCCGTACAGTCTGCCGCGTATGAGCGATGTTTCCAGGATTAGATCAAACGCTGGCATATATGCATTGCAAGCAATAGGGGGAGACTATTTTAAAGGAGACTATAAAAATTTTGATGATTGAATTGTAATTTTGATTTTTAAAAATAAAGTTCGGACATTTTTTGATCACAATAGTAATTACTATACAGTCTACTACACAGTATATAGTATAATTAGTATAATAATAAGTACATATATATATATAATTATATAATTGTAGACGTTATTTATTTTATACAACAACGGCAAGCAACAACGGCATCGATGCACCGTCGATTTCGGGACTTACATAACAAATCGAGACGTTATAATTTATGCTTAATGAAGTCTGTCCATTGTTTGTTAATATAAACGATAAAATTGGTTCTGTCGCGTTTTTATCATTGCACATGAGCAAATAACAATTTTTTTATTCTTTTAACAATGATCTTTTTTTATTTTCCGATGAAGAAAATGTTAAATATTTACATCGAGTCTTAAACATTACCATATTAAACAGTCATTTAGTAACAACAGTTAGATTTCTTCTATACATTGAATTATGTATACAGTGTATGGTAAAAATTCCGGGACGGCATATTATCTCAAAAGCTATTGATTTATCTAAATAAATGTTAAAGAAAGAGTCATAGAGTTTAAAAAATGTATCAAATGTTGATATTTATTTGACTGTATTAATAAATCTTAGATGGAAACATTATATAAATTTTATACAATATAAATATTAGGTGGAAACTATATTTTTCATAGCATATCCTTGTAGCTGACGTCGAGATGTTCAGCTAAAAGTAGTTTCACCTATTTTCGGTGATTCGGATATTCGGAGAACTCTCATATCATGGTCTTCAAAATTTAAATATTGTAGGCATTAGCAGACATTAGCATTACTCAAAATACCACGTGGAGGTAATCCGATCGAATTTGCATCTTTTGTATGCACGAGATATAAATCCGATCGGGCCATCTCCACGTGGGACATACACTTTGGGTGATATTTAATTTTATTTCCAGGTTTGCACCGCGAACGTTGTAGTTCACGAAACAAAGAGTGAAGATAATGAAAAGACGCGCGAAAACCCGGAATAAACCAAACATTTCTCACGTCATGTATTGACCTGCTGGCAATATTGACCAAATGATAATAGCATACTTTTGCCTGACGAAATGACCCAATCCAAGGTCCAGAAAGATTAACGGATTCGTTTATCAATACGACCGGCACGAGGATCAAGCGAGCCGTTAATTAACATCGCGACACTCCATGTGTCGATGGTGGTGGCGCGTCGAAAGCGCGGGTTATAAAGAGCCGCGGCAAGCCGAGCCGATCAGTCCAATGTTGGTACACCGTAGGATCTAATCGTGCATTTGTGAAAAAAGATTAGATATATAAATACATATATAACAATACATATATAGAGATAGGTGGGTCACAAATCGGTAAATATTTCTTTTGCCAGCATCGGCCGATGCAATTTGAATCAACACGTTCGTTATTCCGCGGTTGATTCAGGGAATCACTCCCATAGATTACCTTGCACTTTTTTCATCTGACCGTGTGAAACAGACTCGATTTGTTTACATATCGACGTAGAATTTCGCTGGCAGCGAGCCGAGTCGAAAGGACGTTCGCGAAATCCGCGTATCCGTTGCCCGCTAAACGGCACAATACGACATCCCCGAAAGTCATTGTGTTTCTGCGGAATCGTATCTTGAGAGATATCAATATATGAATGTAAAGACAGCAAGTAGATCGATCGAGTGTTTATGAAGAGGAGGGAAGTCATAGGAGAAAACCTCCGAGAGAAATTTTCCGTGTGTAAAGTTGTTTACGCGGACGTAGAAGCGACGAAACGGGAGATCGGTTTCTCCTGTCGGTCCGCCGATTTCCACATCGGCGATACTACGCGCGACCTCAAGCGGAGGTCAAGCTGAAAATCTGATCTCGCGTTGCTTTCAGGACGACCATGTCTGTGACTGAACCGAAAATAATAGCCGGCTCCGTCGCAGCAGCGGCGTCCGCCGGACTGTCGGCGACCACGGTTTTCCTCTCACTCCTGATACCCGCCCTCGTCCTGTACTACATCTACTTCAGGATCTCCCGTCGACACATGATCGAGCTTGCGGCGAAGCTACCGGGCCCCGACGGCCTGCCATTTATTGGGAATGCGCTGATGTTCCTAGGAAACTCCGACAGTAAGAACTCGCGCGAGCCGCTTATTTTATGAGTAGCGCAATCGAATGTCGCAAGAAAGCAATAGGACTGATAATCCGCTCGCTACGCTTACGAGTGCAAGCGAGGGAGAAAGAAGATAAAAACGACGGATAAAAACGACAGTGATGCGTCTGTACGGTTTACGGCGTTTGCAAAAAAGAGCGGCTAATATGAGAGATAAGCACGATACATGCATCCCCTCGTTCTACATGCTAATCCTGCTTATCGGTTCGTAATTTAGCGTAGTTTCGGTAAACGATATCGCGTGCGCGAATAAATCGAATTAATGCCACCAGCTTCGCCATAAATCGTCTGCGGAAAATGTGCACGACGTTAATATCTATCTTACGATGTTATATATTCAAGAAAGATTTGGCAACAGACACGCTCCGTCACTTTCGGCAGCAATTTGATGATACAAGCCGGGAAAATTGCTGAACAAATTGCTAAAATTGTAAATTTTACATACGGATCGCATCTTTCCCGAGGAAGGAGACATCCGAAGAGTGCGCGAATACTCCGCAAGGGGAATAAAACTAAACTTTTTCTTCCTTCACCGCATTTCAGAGACTCGTGTTGAGAATCTCTTGTATTGTTTACGCGGTAATCATCGTTAATTTTCAAAATCTATTCTCACGGTGTTACACGACAATCGCGCACCTCCTTCGCCGTACGTATTCATCTTCTCGGCTTGAATAACCGAGCGACTTTCGCCACGCGCGCTCACGTGACATCACGTAACTTCCGAATGCTCAATCACGCATCCTGTGTTTTACTGTTGCAGCCATTTTCCGTAATATATACAGGAAGTCCTTCGAATTCGACCAGATCATCAAATTATGGCTCGGGCCGAAGCTGATAGTCTTTCTCATGGACCCGCGCGACGTCGAGATCATCCTGTCCAGCTACATCTACCTCGACAAGTCTACCGAGTACCGATTCTTCAAGCCCTGGCTTGGGAATGGCCTCCTCATTTCCACAGGTGCGTATTACACATTTCCTTCTCGCAAACCCGTTTATCGCCGGGGAGAAAGGGAAAAGGAGATGAAGTAGACATTGGTTTGCTTTGGTGATTAGTTCATTCGATATCTCACTTGGCACGCAGTGTGATTAGAGAATATTAAGATATAGGCAAGCGTGTGCTAACAACTCGTCGAGAAATATATAGCAGTCATTTTGCCTTTTGCAGTCCGGTTTTCAGCCTTTTTCCTCAAGTGACTCGCAGAAATTCGCTTTACTCCGCGACGGTATCGCAATATTTCGAAAATGTAAGTGTCGGGAATTTGTACCACTAAGGGTACACACATATAGCTAACCCGTTATTAAACACACCGTCACTTCACCGTCAATTAGGCGGGGGACAAGTCGTCGTGTCTAATTTCTCTGTTGGACGTATCGCTTACCTTCTCGCCGCGCGACTACCTTTCATTACCGAGCGCCGAATATAATCTCCCGCCGCGTGAAACAGCGTAAAACTCGCAGCAGACTTCCGCGTTTTGCGAATGATAATCGTATTTTCGATGAGCGTGCGCGCGCCGGCGATTTTTCCGGGAGAAATTCGCACTGAGAAAGTAGCGTATCACGCGTATCTACGATATACTCGCGTCATTGAAAGCGTTCAAGAGTCCTGTGAGAGACTGCTTTACATATAATATAAATTCCCATACTGTCTGTATACGCGAAAAGAATCCGAGTGAACTTGACTAATTAATCGTTGCAACACATGTTTGCGCTTCGGTATAAATACATCTCCGTTGTGTGACGCAGCACGCTGCGCGATTGCGCGCGGATTGGCACTCACCAGGTAATTCGTAAGGGTGTCCTGTAAAAAAAGGGAAACACAGCTCCCAATTAGTCATAACTATGACGCCAAAGCCACAAAAGTGGCTCTCACGTAACGCTGCTCGTTAAACGCAACCGGCGCAGTCTCCTTTCAATCGACGACTTTTCTCGTCGATCTTAATGCGAAGAACGCACGAGCGGCGAGCTTCCGCTGCGCGCACCTGCGCGTATTTTCACGTCCGTCGACCTTCCTCCCTCGTGCCAGGAAATTGTATCCGAGAGCGTCGGCAACGAATTTGCATCTTAATTTCGGTGACCTCGCACTCGATCACTCGAGGAGGGAATCTCATTGTCAAAAGTGCGAAGTCCAAAGTCCGAAGGTGCGAAGCGACCTCGGCCGTGGCTCGGTGATCACTTGGTCGCTTCAAATTTTATCCTGTTTGCGTCCCGGTTGTTTAGCTCGAGAATTTAGTATTATTTTAACAGGGAAGAATAACATATACAGGTGTGAATAGCGTTGAAAAAGTTTCGTTCGATGAGCGCTCGCAGCAGCAAGAAATTGACAAATTTTGTCAAAGAAATTTTCCAAAGGATTGAAAAAGTGTAGATTGTGTTATAAACGAGATATTTTCTTCAGAAATGCACACGCCATATTTCAAGGATATACTTGCCGGAACTCAAAGTTTTTTCTTTTGTTTTTCCGCATCTTTTAATTCCCCACACTTGTCCGACTTGGACGATTGTCAGCAAAGCAATGTGTCACTTTCGTCGCATGCGGCACACACGGAGCTATTATTCGTAAACGGCACGATAATGAGATTCGCTGCGGAGTGACGTTGCGGAATGCACAACGGCGGCTTTCCGGAGAAACGCAGTCTCTCTCGCGCGGGGTGAAAACGAAAACAAAAGGAACGAGAGATGCGACGCGCGCGCGAGCGTCGACTTACGCCGCCGACTTTTATCGCAACTTTCTCGGTACCGGGATGGTCTTTTTTTCCATTGACGAAACTCTCTCGATCGGCAGCGAGCGCGTAACGACGCGTGCACGTAACGCACGCACGCGCGTGTTACCGCGCCTCGGCGAACCGGCCTCTCGGATAATACGTTCGTGCGATTTTCCAGCATGCTCGCTTGCCTGCGAACGAGATTCGCCGTTGCGCTGAAAGTAACGCTGTTTCGATCCTCGGGCTCGGTCAACGCGCGTGCATTAATTAATGCACGGGACACCCTTCGTTGACGGGCGTTATCGATCGGATCGATCGATCGGATACTCTTGCATCGATTTTTTCAATTTCAGTCCAGCGCGATCGCAAAACGTGCTGAAGTGCAATTCTCATTTTGCGAAAAGTCCGAGCTTACGAAACAATCCGTCGATCCTCCTCTGAGGGGCCGAAAGATCAAGATCCGCCGGTGTGTGTCGTCAGGTTTTGTAAAAAAGTATATTTATACAAAACGTGCCTTAACATAAGAAATTGTTAATATGTATAAATATTCATCAACAGTGTAGCCACAGGGGTGCAGCCGCAAAAAGAATATTTTTCCTCCTTTCTTCTTTTTCTTCTCCTCCTCCTTCTTCTTCTTCTTCTTCTTCTTCTTCTTCTTCTTCTTCTTCTCTACTTCTTCATCTTTTTCCCTCCTTATCGCTGCTCATTTTTTTTATCTTTGACAAATAACGTTTTTCCGAAACTGATGAATACGCATGAAGACGCAAGACATACAGCGACAAATGATATTCGCAGAGAGTTTGAAGACGTGTCGAAAAATTGTCCCTCGGTTCGCATCCGCGATTCCCTGCGGTTCTAACGCTAGTCGGACAACCGCGCCGCGCGTTTTCTCCCAAGTTTCGCGCCGTAGTTTTCGCAGTAACGGCGCGTTGTATAATGATCACATAATACAACCGTGATCGTGCCGTTTGGTAATTGCCGCCGCGCCGCACCGACGTCGCGGCTCCCCCGTTGGCGCGCAATCGAGTTTCAGCGAGCGCGTGACGACGAAATATAAACGGATACCAAAGTAGTGCAGCCATTCACGAGAACCTCGCGTTTCTTCGGGGCACGTCACATAGCGCGTAAAAAGCTGATCGGCCGATTATCGTGTGTGTTGCTCGTTTTTCCTTTTTATTAGAACTGACGCGGGTAAATCGAGCTCGCAACGTTATGCTTGCATAACGCACGCAAAACGAGCGCGTGCGGACCGACCGATCGGGTGATATAATACGATTGGATTCCAACGTAAACACGCGAAAATATATTAGAGACATTAGAACTCGGTCTTTCGCTCGGCCGACGACTTTCTCGCTGCAACCGTTGGACTGTCTGACCGCGTGACGTCGCGACGCTTCAGTCGTTTCAGCAGACAACGCGAATGTCTGAAACACGCGTTTTATAGAGACGTCGGGAACGAGCAGAGTGTCTTTCAGACATCTTTCAGACACTTATGCGTGACCGAGAAGCTTCGCTTTCGGTATCGTTCGGACGCCTCCAAGGAGCGGCTAGCGGACGTTTCACCTCGTTTCAAGCGTACCCTTTTATTCAAGCGTGACGAAAAATTACAAATGAGGCGCCGAGCGACACACATTGGCACATTTACACATTAGAATCTCTCTCTCTCTCTCTCTCTCTCTCTCTCTCTCTCTCTCTCTCTCTCTCTCTCTCTCTCTCTCTCTCTCTCTCTCTCTCTCTCTATCTGTCTGTCTGTCTGTCTTGATGTACCCCGAAAGTGGCGGGAAGCGGAGAAAGAGAGAAAGAGACTAGGTGAAATTGCAATCAGTCCGCGATAATTCGCGAGAGGCCGAGCAGGAAGGAAATTTACAAGTCGCTCGCCCGCTTGCTTTCTCTGCCTCGCATCGTGCACACGTCTCGCTCCTTCCGAGGAACAAGATAGTTGCACCGTCAGTCCGCGATTCCTAGCCCCCTTCACAATGTGTTTGAATTTCCTCTCTCCGTCTTTTTCTCTTCCCGCCACTTCCGCGTGGCTCGATGCAAAACATCCGATGCAAGAAGTGACCGAAAAACAGCCGATAAGACGCGCATCGACGGAGAGTCGTTTCTTATAGGAATTTGTTATATTATAGGCCGACGTTCGATCCTAAAAGCCAAGAAAGATTCTTCCTCAGACCTCGACTCTACTTAATCCTTTGACTCCCAGGTTTCCTCTTGTTATTTTAGAAATTTAGTGTTATTTTGGTAAAAGAGTATTTCGAAAGAATCAACGTTTTCATTAGAAAAGTGCAAAGTTTGCAGCGAGAAGAAATGTAAGAATTTTATCATTAATAAAAATGCAATTGTTTTCTTTTCTAGTTAAGTACTCAATACGAATCCAAAAGCGCTCTATTGAATGGCGTAGACAGGTGACAATGAAAATACATTTACTTTTAGAGATATTATATGCTGTATCCTCAAGGAATTCCAGGGATTAATGATGTAATAAAGATTCCAAGCCGCGGGGTCGATTCGGGATGTCGAAGATGAAGAATTCATAAGGCAGCTCTATAGCGATTTCCCGCGATGTTTCAATGATTCGGTGGAGAAACGCGATGTTTGTTTTATCTCTTGTATTAGCTTTCGTTGCGAAAGATAAAACAGCCGACGGACCATCTTGCAGGCCAGAAATGGCGCGCCCATCGCAAGCTGATTGCGCCGACATTCCACTTGAACGTGCTCAAGAGCTTCATCGACCTCTTCAACGCAAACTCTCGCGCCGTGGTGGAGCGAATGCGCAAGGAGGGCGGCAAGGAATTCGACTGCCACGACTACATGTCCGAGTGCACCGTCGAGATCCTCCTTGAGACCGCGATGGGTGTCTCCAAGAACACGCAGGATCGGAGCGGCTTCGAATACGCCATGGCCGTTATGAAGCAAGTATCCGAAAAGATATGTGGAGCTCAGCGCGACAAGTATCGTGACAACGTGTCACAATTCTCAATTAATACGTTTGTCATAATTGTCACTTTTTTAATTAATTTTTGTCAGTCTGGAACTCCGATGGATCTCTAGTCCTAGCAACGACGTCTCAGAGGATCTTAAATTAAAGGAAATTCATACAAAACATCGTCGTTTTTATTTGATCAAATTTCTACTTGTCGCGTCGGAGTCTCGAACTTGGTACTCGTGAAATGTCTGCGCGAAAAGATCGAGAATGTCATAGTCCGCCGTTGTCATTAAAGGATGTGCGACATTCTGCACCTGCGCCACACAAAGATCTGGCTGAGACCCGACTGGCTGTTCAATCTATCGAAATACGGCAAGGACCAGATCCGTCTGCTGGAGATCATCCACGGGCTCACGAAGAAGGTGATCGCGCGCAAGAAGCAGGATTACAAGAGCGGCAAGCGCAACCTGATCGATGTCACCATGCAAAACGGCACCGTTCAGGCCGCCAAGGTAATCAACAATAATGACGATGAAAATCGTCGTTATTTAATATGCAACACGATACGATGCGTCGTTTCTAGAACACCACCGTGGAAGGGCTCTCCTTCGGACAGTCGGCTGGCCTCAAAGACGACCTCGACGTGGACGATAACGACGTCGGCGAGAAGAAGAGGCAAGCCTTCCTCGACCTGCTGATGGAAGCCGGTCAGAAAGGCTCCGTGCTTACGGATGAAGAAGTTAAGGAGCAAGTCGACACTATTATGTTCGAGGTAGGTGTTATGGACGCGCTCGTGAACTTTAGAAAGAAGATTGATGATAAACTCTTCTCCTTCGCGATATACGAAGACGTTAAATTCTCGGGAGTTAACGATAAACGAGATGAAGATGAATTGCTAGTACGATTTTCTAGCTAGATATAAAATTTTTGCACACGGGGAAGAAATATTATATATATATATATATAATTTCATGCATAAAACTATAAACATGTGCACATGAAAATGACACGGCAGGACAATAAAATAAGGCAGAATATCGGTGCACTTTCTCTCTTTCGCTCAACTATAAGAGTCATAGTAGTTTTTACTACGAAATTCTCTGTGTATAAATCAGCGTAAAGGATAACGATATCCTTAACAGCGAGAAATCTTCGATCGATTGTTCTCTCAAAATTACCCTCACTCCTACCGCAAATGCTCCGGCAAATGTGCGGTATTCGTGACTTCTTAAGCTTCTTAAGGGTATCATCATCATTCACTCGCGTGATCTTCGTAGGGACACGACACAACTGCGGCCGCGTCGAGCTTCTTCCTATCGGTGATGGGTTGCCACCTGGACATTCAGGAGAAAGTTATCCAGGAACTCGACGAAATCTTCGGCGACAGCGACAGACCCGCGACCTTCCAAGATACGCTGGAGATGAAGTATCTCGAGCGGTGTCTCATGGAGACTCTCCGCATATATCCGCCTGTGCCGGTTATCGCACGGAACATCGACAAGGACTTGAAACTCGGTGAATTTCCGCGACCGAAAGTTGCATTGCTTTCCTCTAAGCCACGCAAGATGTCTTTAGAATTCGAGAAGTTCAGAAGAATGAAGCTCGGTGTATCTTTCTCGAATGTGCTTATGAGTCAGTTATTCAGAAGAATATTCACAGTTTTTACAAGTAGACTTTTCAATTCCTAAAATAGAAGTGGCCTATACGAAACATATATGATAATGGAGACCAAGGCGGAACACATCGCGATGTATCCCTCAGTCACAAAATTCTTGCTGTAAAATTATCTTTGCATATAGAAGCTGTTGGACTAAATTGCAAAATCGGCAACACGATAACGTAGATTTAATCGATCGAATGATGCTTCACTCTGTCTCTCGTCATCAAATGTTAACAACGACCGTCCTTTCAGCATCGGGAGACTACACGATCCCGGCCGGCAGCACGGTCGTGGTGACTACTTTCAAGATGCACCGCCAGCCACACCTGTACCCGAACCCGGAGGTCTTCAACCCCGACAACTTCCTGCCCGAAAAGACCGCCAACCGCCACTACTACGCCTTCGTGCCGTTCTCCGCCGGGCCACGCTCCTGCGTGGGCCGCAAGTACGCCATGCTCAAGCTCAAAATCATCCTGTCCACGATCATGAGGAACTTCCGCGTCAAGTCCGACATCTTGGAGTCCGACTTCAGGCTTCAAGCCGACATCATCCTCAAGCGAGCCGAGGGCTTCAAAATCAGACTGCAGCCGAGGAAACTGGCGGCCACGGCGACCGCTTAGGCTCTTCGGCTCGACTTCAAAGGTGTCATTAGTGCGAAGAGTAAACGGTGGTAGAGAATAGCAGCGACGAGAAGGCGCGAATCGCGTGTTTGAAGCTTCGAGTCGGAGCGGAGACCAGAGTGTCGGAAGGATCGCACATCGACTTTTTCCTTGATGAGTATCTGAACGGAGTAGATATGAGGGCAAGGTTTAATTAGCATTTAGAAACCCTTTGCCTTCATTGACAGCGCATGCTCCGTGCAGACATTCAAGTCGATGGGGATGGCGTCTCGCCCGAGAAGAATAAAACAAACGCGTCGGATCGCGTCTGCGCGAATGTGTATTAGACATTGTATAGACCGGTCCGTGGTCGTTGATCGTTTTAAGACACGTAGCCTTTACACCCTGATTACTTACGTTGATATTTATCGTCTCGCAATAAATTATGCGGCGCGAATGCCGCGAAATCTGATGCACACACATACTATTTTTCCCGTCGTGCCTCCATCCTGCTCTGCGATCCTCGTATTATCGCGCGCTGACGAAAAGTCGGGACACGAGCATGCGGAAACTCGACCGAGGAATGAACGAGATATCGGCACGGAAACATTACGATGGAAAGAAATTGCCGGAGGCCGGCTCTAACATAGGAGAAAGCGAGCGGGGCTCGGCCGAGACGGCGATTGTTAAAACTCTCGCCGGAGTCCGATGGCACGAGAGGGGAAAGGTTAAGGACGAGTTGAAGGTGATGCTTCCGACGCTGAAGCCTTCGGAAGTGACAAGGTTACTTTGGCTATGAAAATGAAGAAGGATACGCTGTCGGTATCCTTTATCGCGATTGCCGAAGCTCGCAATTCCAGCATTTGAAATATCGGAATATTCGGAATAGATACATGAAGAGAGTTTTGTAGCAAAAATTGTTATAAGGTTTTGCAACCGAGAAAAGCACACCGACATTGTTGTCTTAATTTATTGCATTTCGATTTCTATTATTGAAAAATTTATTATGCATCTTAGCACTGCAAATTCCATTTAGTATGGTAAAATTAAATTTATATGAAACAAAGATATAATACCTTGCTCGTGCTACAAATTTGCGCTCGGCGAAGGTCAATCTTTTCATTATTTTCCATTGACGTTCCGCCGACAAGATTTTACTTGCCACTTCACGAAGCCATCGTTCACGAACTCGAAGAAAATGGCTACGATGAGTCGATCGGCTATTTGAGGGAATTATTGGAACTAGATGAGGAAGCTCGAAAGGGAGCTGGTCCCGGGACGTTGGCGTGGAAGAAACCGCGTTTAAAGGACAATAAGAGCGCGCTGCTGCATCTCAAAGAGGGCTTCTTCGCCTTTGAGCAGGCCAAGAACGCCGGTGAGTGACAAGCCGCATGTTTCCAGCGATATAATAACATGTAAACATTCCACAAACACGAAAGATGTGTTCTACACTTAATCATAACGCTAAACGTATGATATGAGAAATATCCCTTTCCTAACTTTCTCTTATTAAGCTCCAATACTTGATGAATGAATCACATTCTTTATGAATCGCATCCATTATAAACGCTATGACCGCTATCGCTAAATTTAGCAAGAATGACGTTTCATAAATGCAGGAGACTCGGTGTCTATGACAATGGCATTCCTGCATACTGCGACATCGTTCCAGACAATGGCGTGTGAATGGTGGTGGGTGGCGGAGCGACTTTACCGGAGCGCGATAACGAACGCGGAGGTCATCGAACACGACGGCCGGCGGACAATCACCGTGACACGCTATTTATACGGTCGATTCTTGTTCGAACAAAGTTAGCGGACAATATAATAATGCAGTCATACGCCGCGTGCGAATTGCATTGTCGCGGCACACGCTTTAAAACGAGCGGCTCTAATTCTTCGAGTATTTTTTATCTCAGAAATTCAATTGCGTTGAAAAAGAATGTTTTATCTCGGAAATTCAATTTCGTTCGAAAAGAGTAGTTTCAGCAAGGAAGACGTAAAACAATTTTACTCCAAGACAAATTAAGAAACTGACGATATGGCGGCGAGGATACGCCGGGAGTCAAATAATCGAGTAGCCTTGATCTGTCTTTCGTTCTCGTTGAATTCGACTAAAGAGATCCCGAAAATGAACTTAATTACCGGCATAGAGATATCTCATAATCACGAGCGACGAAGTCAATTATACACGATCGCGGTACCGTTAGTGCAGAATACGGTAGAGTCGTTGGACCACTTGAAAGTCGCGCGAGAGACGTCCAAAGGGAAATCGTGGAACTCGTCTAAGCTGACCGGTCGACAAGAGCAAAGCATCTTCCGCGAGTGCAACGTGCTGCTATATAAAACGCTGCTAATGCACGCGCAACAGGCCGATCCTGACCAGCCGGATGTCGCCGTGAAAGCGTGCACCGAAGCTCTCGCGCGAGCGACGGATTGTAAGCTATAGCTGACGAGACGCGCGAACGATGATGCTGCTTCGAATTTTGTCTCGTATATGGTAAAGGTGCGAGAGATCTCTGGTCTCGATCGTAAATCGATACAAGCGGAGCGCCGAGAGTGTATCTTATCACACAAATATTGGGTTGGCAACTAAGTGATTGCGGATTTTGTCGACAGATGGATTTTACACTTTCTTTTGTTTCGTTAACGTATTCAAAGTACCTAACCTATATTTTTTTCTTATTGTTTGGACTTCTACCTTTCATTTAGTACAAAAATTATATCGATTAGTTCTTTAGTTTTGTTTTTATCCCAATTTGAAAATGGAAGAGCAAGACGTGCACTTCAGACATATTTTATTGTATTATTTCCGAAAAGGCAAGAACGCATCGCAAGCACACAAGAAGTTATGTGCCGTATATGGGAATGAAGCCTTGAAAGAAAGGCAGTGTCAAAATTGGTTTGCCAGATTTCGTTCTGGTGATTTTTCATTGAAAAATGCTCAAAGATCTGGCGGTCCAGTTGAAGTCGATGAGACCCATATCAAGGCCATTATCGATTCAGATCGTCATAGCACAACACGTGATATTGCAGAGAAGCTCAATATATCGTATACATGCATTGAAAAAAATTTAAAAAAGCAAATTTAAAATTTTGAATTTTCATTCTCATTTAAAATCCGCAATCACTTAGTTGCCAACCCAATATTTGCTCTTGTCTTCCTTCGCGATAAACGTTAATTGACGTGAGCATGAATCTTGTTCGCGCGGTTTCAGGCTGAACTCATTCTGAGAAAATCGCGCAAATTCCAGCTTGCAGAATTATAGAAAATTCCAGCCTTGAAATTATCCAGGAGAGTCAAGTCGGAAATGTTTATGGATGTTTTTCTACCTTATTTTGCGCGGCCATTGGCCGCGATTCTTTTTTTAAATCCTTTTTTAATCTTTTTTAATCCTTGTAGTCGATTGCCTGGATACTTCGCGAATTGGCTGCATCTCAGGCTTTGTGGTTACGGATAGATTAATACGAGGGTAGTCCCAGAAGTATCTGACCTGACGTATAGATAGCGGTTGTTGTTTGAAAAGAATGACTATGGTAGAAAGTACCAACTTTATAATGCTTAAGTTTGAAGTTTGACGACGCTACGTTGTTTAGTATTTGTTTGGCAGCCATCAATAGTGAACGCTCTCAGTGAATTTGTAAACATGGAAAAAATTAGTCATCGTTATGTGATACAATAGTTTCATTTGAAAGGCCTCAGTCCAACCAATATCAAAGTGGAGCTAGATTCTACTCTGGGGGAATCTGCTCCTTCGTTTACAACAGTAAAATATTGGGTGGCAGAGTTTAAACCGAGTTTAAACAGAGTTTAAAGAGACCGTACGAACGAACTGCGAAGACGAACATCGCAGTGGTCGACCAGGTGAGCACGCCAGAAATGGTGAAGAAAATCCACAAAATGGTATTGGATGACCGTCGACTGAAAGTGCGCGAGTTAGCAGACATAGTAGGCATTTCCAAAAGTGCTGTACGTCGCATATTGACTGAAAATTTGAGCATGAGAAAGCTGTGCGCAAGATGGGTGCCGCGATTGGAACAAAAACAGCGTCGTGATGACGTTTCAATCGAGTGTTTGGCGAAGTTTCGCAGCAATAAAGCCGAGTTTTTGCGTCGATTCATAACCATGGATGAAACATGGGTCCGTCACTTCACACCTGAGACGAAGGAACAGTCAAAACAATGGACGAAGATGGCTTGATGGCTATTTTGAGGAGCTCGGCGATTCCCACTATAAACAGGGTATCGGAGCTATTGAACATCGCTGGGAAAAGTGTATTGAACTAAAAGGAGACTATGTAGAGAAATAAAGCTTTCCCAAATTTTTTGTGTTTTCTTTGTTCAGGTCAGGTACTTCTGGGACTACCCTCGTATATGTATACGAGAGTATATATATGTATACTCGTATTTCGCGTATATGATGGACTTACCGTTGTCGAGCGATGCACTCATCCTGGCAACTGAACCATTATTCCGATAGCCGAGCACCGCGAATACATCGAGAATGCGTTGCACGAGCTGGGCCAGAGTCAGAGGAGGTCGGGCGACGTAGAGAGTGCTCTTCAGAGTTTTTCCAAATTGCTGGCGATGGCCAAGAGAGTCCCAGATCCACAGGGAGTGTGCAACGCGCACATGGCACTGGCATTGGCATATAAAGTATGTATAATGCAACGTGATTTTAATCGGAGCGCGATGGAAAGTCAAACCACGATAGCAAGGAGCAACGAATAGGAACGAATATGAGATTATGTACATAGTATGTCGAAAAAATAACGGAACTTTTTAAATTAAAAAAAAAAAAAACAATTAGTTATTTTGCCAAAATTATTTCTTTTTATTCAAAATACATCCCTTCCGCATCAATACACCGCTGGGCACGTTCAACCAATGCTAGCATAGATTTTTTTATGTCGTTTTTCGGAATCGCCTCGGAATGACCCTCGTCACGGCTTCTTGGACTTGCGTAAAACTGTCATAAAACGTTCCTTTCATGACCAGTTTGAGTTTCGGGAACAGAAAATAGTCACACGGACATAAATCAGCGAATACAGAGAACTTCCCGGCGCTCGATATTCGGGCAAAATTTCGTGAATCATGTCTTTGGTCGTATTTAATTCCTCCGCTATCCAATCCGCTCACAATCGAATTCGCATCGTAGGCGATCATTTCACGCACTTTTTCCACCAACTCATCGCGATTTTTGTTTTTTGACCGGCCTGGCTTTGAGTCGTCTTCCAATACATCACGACCGTCCCGGAATCACTTATACCACTCGAACACACGTGTACACTCGTGAACTAAAAGGTATATGCACCGATTTTTTGTTGATTTCGGAACGCGCTCCAACTTGAGGAGAAAGACAACCACTGCTTCATACGTCAGCGCTATCACTTATTACGAGAGCAGAAGGATGGCATATACGAGCGTCAAATAAGTAGTGATTGTGGCGTAGACACAAATGTCTTGGAGACTTTGAGTTATAATTGAAGAAATGAAAAAAACAAATAATGATTGTGAAGAAAAGTGGCAAAAGGCTTCATAAAATTTGTAAAACAGCATATTAAAGGAGAGTATTAATGGTCTAATAATATTTTAAGTGAAAATTATTTTTAAATTTGAGTGTAAGTTAAAAAAAAGTTATAAACCATAATTTCTTTAATGTTAATAATTTTATAGCTATAAATTTGCCATCGACGTTAAATGAATATGTATGTAATGCTATATCATTTACATAGGTGGAAAATTATGTTATTGCGCTCATAAAAAATAAGCAGCAGACCAAGTCGAGTGATATTTTTTTAACAAGATACTCATATCACTCAACTTAGTCTGCTGCTTACTTCTGCTGAACACAATAATATAATTCCTCACCTATGGAAATAATAGCATTATATATATATATTCATTCAACGTCGATGACAAATTTATTAACATTAAAGAAATTATGGTTTATAACTTTTTTAACTTACACTCAAATTTAAAAATATTTTTCACTTAAAATATTATTAGACAATTAATACTCTCCTTTAATATACTGTTTTAGAAATTTTATGAAGCCTTTTGCCACTTTTCTTCACAATCACTATTTGTTTCCTTCATTTCTTCAATTATAACTCAAAGTCTCCAAGACATTTGTGTCTACGCCACAATCACTACTTATTTGACACTCATATGTGCCATCCTTCCGCTCTCGTAATAAGTGACAGCGCTGACGTATGAAGCAATGGTTGTCTTTCTTCTCAAGTTGGAGCGCGTTCCGAAGTCAACAAAAAATCGGTGCACATACCTTTTAGTTCACGAGTGTACGGTCGCCGACATAAAGGTTGTCACTTTTTTTTTAATAACTTTCGGGACACATCCCGACTTGAGGCAGGCGGAGCAGCAGCTCTCATCTTTCTCGAGTCGGGATGCGTCCCGAAAGTCATTAAAAAAAAAGTGACAACCTTTATGTCCGCGACCATACGGGATAAGCAATCATCACCATAAACTTTTCTCATCAATTCAAATGTTTCTGTAAAAGTTTCACCGAGCTTGAAACAAAATTTAATATTAGCTCTTTGTTCCATTGTGATGTGACGACGTGACAAAAGGTATTATCACTTTAAGCGCTATAAATTCACAATCCGTTGATCGATTCTAATGATGGCGGTCTCGTTTTGTAAAGGAGATATGCAGCTTTCAGATTATATATTGTTTCAATAGGTGGCGTTAGTAGTTTTCTTTAAATTTAAGAAGTTCCGTTATTTTTCCGATATACTGTGCAATACACTAATTCTCAAAGTGAATGAAAAGGGAAGCACTTTTAATAACTTCGAGTCTCTCCCCACTTCGAAATTGTTAAGATCACCCCGAAAAAGATTTGTTTGGCAAAGGCTTGAGTCCAGGTCTTAAGCCAACGGCACATGAGCTTGTTTTTGTGTTGGATCTAGTAAGGTTTAGTAACATATTAAAAACGTACCAATCAGAGCTTAATACTTCTAATGGACTTCACTAAATCCAGTTCGAGAACAAGCTGTTCACTATTAAGTTGTCGAAAAATACCTATTCCTTGGCCTGTAACAGTTAATTATATTATAATATTGCTGCGCCCGTGTCTTTGGGGGACATGTTATCCCCACGCTCCTGGGAGTGGACTGCAAAGGAATCGAGTAGAGATTGTTTGACAGCTGTTGTTGTCAAGGAGGTTGTTTAATAAATAAAGGAAAGAAGAAGAGATGAGAGAGAGAGAGTCGCCCTAGTCTCGTCACGACGAACGGACGTATTAAAATAAAGCTTCTTTCGTTTTGTTAATTCCGTGTTATTTTTCTTGCGCAAGGGCGCAACAATATTATATATAAATGACGATTTATAATTTCCTCCTTTTTGCGCTTCACGTCGCTCGTCGGACGGATCTCGAATTTCTGTCGCTCCTCCTCACGACTTGCACTTACAGCGAAACTCGACAAAATCTGCACACTTTGGCCAATTTTCAGTTCGCTCCAACTTGCACTGTTCTTCTTACGTTTTCTCTCGTGCCCAATAACTGCACGAGGCTCAGCAACATACGACGCGTGAACTTGTTCCCAATAGCTTTCCACGTCGCCCATGAGATATTATTGTTGCGTTTTTTCCGCTAGACAAAGCGAACTCGGTCAAAGTGTGCAGACTTTGCCGAGCTCTGATTTACAGGAACTGGACAACGAGATGTACACGGAGAAGCATCTTCGCCTGGCTAAGGAAAGGGCGGCCGAGTTCGGGCTCACGCTGCAACTTGCGCAGGCACACTATTACACCGGCGAATATTTCTTGAGTAAGGTACGAAAAACGTCCGCGTCGCGTCGGAAGTGCACGATTTTCTCTGATTACTTCCTTGAACGTTGATGGTCTCGCGAGAAGCTACGAAAATCGTAATACTGTAAACATGAAGAGCAAAAATTATTACATCTCTTCTAGACATCTTACCGCGAACATACGCTAAATACATATACATTTTCTTCAGCACTTTCATTAATAACGATAAAACTGCATTTTCCAGAGGAGACCGGATGTGGCGACTCCTCATCTGGAAAAGTCTTTCGATCTTTACAATGAACTCGGCTTATACGGTGAGGCTAACAAAGCGCGGATTATCGCCGGAGTTTCGAGAGGTACGCGAATCACGAGACAAGTTGTTCAAAGCGCGAATAATTTAGGATCCAAACAGCACAAATTTCTAAATGATATCTTGAAGACCGCAGCTCTTATCCGGGCAAGGATAAGCATATAAATTCCTAAGTACATATATTTATAACGCAGCCGGGCAAAGTTGCAAAACCAAAAATACTTCTTGAGCATATTTAAAGCGCTCTGCAGTCTTTCGTTTTTCGTGCAAACCATTATATATTGAGTTGAACAGAGCCATCAAATTCCGGCGGTGAGAAAAGTATGAATTTCGCTCAACACGCAAGTGACTTCGCAAATGGACTTCACTTGCCTGGATAACAGTCCTTTAGAAACCTAAGGTGCTGTCTGAGGGGGATTTACAGATATTAAATAATTTCCTCGCCTCTATTTCACAGGACAAGGAAGCATCGATAAGTACATTGATCTTGTACGGCGGTGCGGAACGGCGGTCGGCTCGAAGGCAATATCAACACTTTGTCAGTGGAAAAATCGCAGGAACACTTTTTTCACCGAGACAAAGCTGTGTACCGGTGAGTCATAATATTCAGGAAGAGAGACCACGCAGAGGATTTAGAAACAAAATCTCGCGACAGAATTCATTCCTCAATACCGCGAGCATTTGATTGGTTTCGATCAACTTCAAGATGTACAATATTTTAATTTTCGCGTCCGAATTTTATCGCAAGTAACAAATACGTAATGCGATATCACTATTCTTTATTCTCAGAAGATTCGGAAGATCTCGATGGCGAACACATTGACGAGACGATGTCTTCAGCACCATCTGTCACTACCATTACCGCGGACGTCGCGAAAAGCAATATTGATAATTAGATTGATTAATTAATTTGATGAACTAATTTTATATACGTCTGATTTGATCCCAGTGAAATTTTACACTACGATATCTAGCGACAAATACAATCTTTCGTATATTCTACAGTCGGTCACTATTTAAACAAAGACAACAAAATCGTTCACTTATTGTTTAAATCAAACACGGTGTTACATTATTGATGTGAAATACTTGGAAGATACATTGTAGCAGAAGCTTTTAAAGTTTCACACTGAATATTACAATCGTATATTATATCTTAACAATTTTCATTTATATACGTAATTTATCCTCGCGAGTCTGTTCGTTAATAACACATACATCTATGGTGCATTACGTGTAATTAATGTAACAATGAGATTACGCATTCACGCATCTTTTGTCGTACGATGGTTTTACATGTTTATGTTTGACGTTTCAATGACCTCGACTGCGAAATAGCGACGTGCACAGACAATTCATTGCTTGACACAAAAGTCAAACAATGAAACATGAGCAATGCATGAGAGAATATTATAGAGAATATGTATTTATTATTAATACGTATTTACATAGGTATTTAAAAAATTATGACATTCGCAAGTCGACACTATATCTGCATAGAACATATATTTGCTATGTCTGCATAACTATCTTAGAATGCATACATCATAGAATACGATAACACTATTATTATTAATATGTATATCATTACCAAATTTTGATATTAATGGTATATATAATAATGTGCATCTTATTAATAATGTAATATTTCGTTTATTAATAAACATATAACATCCGTTTCTTACGTCAAAACTTTGTCTTATCATTGAAATTATATCCGACTACATTTTCAATGATAATATTAATTTCCATGTTAAAATCTCGTTGATGAGAATTAATTATTACATATCAAGTGAAACGCGATGTACGAGTTTTCGATAAATTATGTGCGAGTTTCTTATAATATGCATACACATATCTGTATAAATACTTCAATATACTATGTATATCATACAAGTGTAAAACTTGTCTCTACATGACATTGAAGTTTCTTTCTTTTTTTTTTCTTTTTACGTTATTAGAATCCCTTTATTGTTGATGCGATAAAGTTATATTTAACAAATAAAAGAGAAAGAGAAAAAGAGAAAAAAGGGTAAAAAAGTGAAGGACAAGTTATCTTTAAAGATATCCATGAACCTCAATCGAATAAAGATACATGTATATTATATGTATATATATATATATATGTATGTGTGTATATATATATATATAAACCCACTTGCTCAATGTTTGAATTATTTTTTCCAAACTCTCGTTAAAATTAGATGTCACCCCCGCAACTGTAACAGGCATTGCACAAGCGGCTGAATAATTATATCGCTTGAAAAGGTTTATACAACAAAATCATAGATAATTTGTGTCATAGACAAAATTAATTCAACCGCATGATAACATCCTCGTCATTTATCGATATAGCGCCAACCGGATCTAGAGAGGGCATATCAGCACTGTTACGTATCTCACGCGAGATATTCTCCAGAGTCTCCATCTCGATATCCTCCTCGGAGTTTATTTTTGCATCGTTATTGTCCTTTCGCTTTTGCACCTCGGCGGCTGCAAGGTCAAACACCTCGTCCATTATCTCAGCAGATGTATCCATGGAGATGTTGTTCAAGTTTTCGGACACATCGCTTCGATTCTTATTCTTCTCCTGTACTTCACACTCCGTACTGTTCTCTTCTATCAACTTTTCGATATCGTTTTCCTCCACCGTTGGTGTTTCCTCCTCCGTTGTCAAGTCGCACGTCATGACCGTTTCCTTCGTGACTCCTTTCTTCGATTTCACGAGAGCCTCTTCGCTAATGTCCATCATATCAGTTGCAACATCCTCAACCTCCTCAACGTCCCCAACCGTCTCAACTTCTTCAACTTCCTCGACTTCTCCAACTTCCTCAATCTCCTCGATTTCCTCAATATCTTCGAGCTCTGCAACGATTTCAGAATCCTCAACGATCAACGTATCGTCATCTAACGTCTCGTCGTCCAACGTCACGTCATCTAATGTTTCACAATGCAAAATATTCGATTTGGTAGTATTCTTCGCATTATCGTCAATTTTTTCGATGTCCGTAATAACCTTCTCGGTCTCCGCGTTTTCTTTGTCGACCGCATCCTGTCGCTTCTTCGGATTCTTGATAGTCAAGTCCTCCTCGTCATTCAACGTTTCGTTACTGATATCTGGCATGACTTTGTCTTTCTCTTCCGATTTCTTTAGACTTTTCTTCTGAGAATCATCCGGTAAATTTACGCACGGTTTTATATCTTGGTCTACGGTCTTAGTTATCTTGTCCTCATCATCTTTGCGGCTATCTTCAAGCTTATTCTCTAGATTCTCATCGTAATTTTTATTGTACTCAGTCGTATCATCCTTATTCTTATTATCCTCAATTGTCTTATCATTAAGGGTGTCACTCTCAACGGTATCTTCCTCCTTTTCCGCAGCGGGTGCTTCTTCCGAGCAATCTTTGAGATCAGTCGAGTCTTTGTTCACCTTCGCACCCTCGTCTTCTTTCTCGCCATTCGATACCTCTTGATTCTCAGCAATATCGACGGTATCTTCAACAGTGGCCGAACTTGGCTCGTCTTTCCGCGCTTCATCACCTTGATCCTGTAACGCATCGACCTTTTCGTTCATCACTATTTTCGTATCTCTGTTCTCCTTGTTCTCTTCGTTCACCTCGGCCGCCGCTGTCGTTTCATTCGACACAGTCGTCGCGTCTGCACTCTGTTGCGATTCACTCGTTGTTGTCTCCTCCTCGATTTGGGCTTTCGTAGATTCATCTTCCTGCGACTCATTTTCCTCCGCGGCCGATTTCTCCGCTTCATCGTCCTTTTTGCAGTCTTTCTTGTGTTTATTTCGAACGTCCTTATCGTCGATGGTGTCATTGGGATTAATGTTGATTTCCTCGGACTGATTACCAAGCTGACTTTTGTCAGTCAACGCGGTTTCGCCGGTTTCCGCTCCTTCGGCGGAAATCGTTTCGTCCTCTTGAGAAGCAACTTCCAATTCACCTTTCTTCCAATTCATAACATTCACTCTCTCTAGATTCAGCTTAAGCTGCTTGAGATGTGTTAGCTTGTGCTCAGTGTGTGCTAGTTTCGTGTCGAATTTCTCATCACATTTGTCGCAAGTATACTCCTGCGGTAGCACGAATTTCGGGCTTTTGAATTCTACGGGCGGCGTCATTTCCTTGCTGGATATGGACACCGATCTCGTTCGATTGCGAGTCTCTCGTTTTTCGGCCTCTGGCTTCTTCGTGTCCGCTGTCGACGCAACTGGTGTGCTGGCATTTTTGGTGATTTCCTTGGAGGTGAATCCTTTCTGTCTCATGCTGATTCTTCTGTTTACATCTTCTTCGGAAGTTGACGAAAGAGCTTGTTTTGAGGAACTAATTTGTTTTCCGCTGCGTGTCGTCAACTTGCTCTTCATATCTGACGTCTCTTGATAATCGGAGTCTGAACTCCAATCGGTGACAACTTTTCTCTTGCGTTCCTGTTGATTCTGGAAACTGGTAGACGGCTGATCCAAATCAGACAACGCCTTCGCCGATCTAGTAGTCATAGACACGGACATTTTCTGTAACTTCGACGGTGTGCTCTCGACATCACTGTCGATTAATCGTTTCCTACTGCGTATAGCTGTGCTACCATTAGCGATCGATTTGCTGCCAATCTGCGACAAAGTGCTTGGACCCTTATCCTCGTTTTGCGAGCTGTCGTCCGATACAACGTACACTGTCTTCGCTTTCTTGTTGTCAATTTTATTCATGTTGTCACCATTGTGTGAGCCTTCATTCAACACGTCTGTCAGACAAACTGTACACAATTTCGTCTCCGCAGAGCTATTGTACGTGTGCCTCTTTTGTTTACTCTTGTTCGGATCCATTGTTATCCAACAGCTTTTGCAGACAATGTTACCCGTTTGATAAAATCTGTACATATCCTTGCCGTTTGCGACGGAGTTGTTACAACTGTCGCAACGTCGGTCCTTCGATTTAACATCGACTTGCGATTTCTCACGAATATTGTTCTTTATAGATTGTTTAATGCGCACTTTGCTATGCACAATGTTGCGCGATTTATTGCGCAGCGACTTGTCAGAGAGTTTGCGACGTGATTTGCTACGTGCCATATCGCTACCGCTGTCACTGTCGGAACTTATTAATCCATATATTGTGGTTTCTGGGAACGTAGTAATAGTTGTTTTGCGATTTACAACATCTGTGTACACCTGAAATTTAAAAAACTTATGTTTACGATATATTTATATATATTTATAAGTAAAGTATCAATGAAAGTAACAAAATATTGATATAACGAAAATATGCGAACAAGCATAAGCAATATGTTTATTACCTTGGGAAAACCTGAGTAATCCAATTCATCATTGACTAACGCTTCTAAATTGTTGACTGATTGCTCATGTAGCTTCTTTAGATCATACAAAACATCTAAATTATACCGACACACCAGACACACCAATTTAGAATTGTTGATTTTCCTGGCAAACTGGATAAAAAAACAGAATAATTATAACATAAGCATTATATTTACAATGAAACAAATAAGATCTTTGCTTTATAACATGCAATAAGTATTGCTATCTGCACTTGAATGATAAAATAGATATATATGTATGAGACTTGATGATTAAGAAAACCAGACAAGCTATAAGATTGATTCAGAAAATGCTATAAAGAACAGCTTATTTAGAGTGCACTTACTTCCTCATCAAAAATCTTGCGAATCTTCTGTAAAGGGCTAAATACTGAGCGATTGTCCTCAGTAATGTCAAAAATATGACCACTTTCTACAGACTCAAGGCATAAAGAGCAATGTGGCACTTGTGTCTTGTTCTTTGGAAATTTTGCAGCATCTTCCAACTTCTTGCTCTTCTGTAGAAACTTGGCGCACTGATCTAATTCGTATGCACACTTATAGCATATCTTATTAGACAGCTCGATGGTTTTGTTGACCTAAGGTAAAAGAACAAATGATAATCTCGAGGAACATTATTAAATAAAATACTGAGAGAAAACTGAATTCTTTCATTTCAACGGACGATAGCTAAGTATCAACCTCGCATGTTTTGAACAAGTGCAAAATTGTGAGAAGCGGGAATAATTCGATCAAGTACGCCTGAATTTGTAATGCGCTTCTCGATGATAGTAATCTTGTTAAGATAGTCCACAAAAGAGACACAGGGCATCAAAAAGTATATATTCAACTCACCCGTCGCGAGCGTGCAAAACGAAAGTTCCCGCAATTTTTCGCGAACGCGGCTTCGCTCGATTGTGCGGAAAAGTCGAGTCAAAACTCACATCATTCATCACACGTAGAACGAGAGTCTTTTTTCTTATTTACGATACTCGGCGATATCCTACTCCGCATCATCAGCAGGTATGACCGTGGACAGAAAGTCTGTCCGTAATTGATGTAACTTCGGAATGTACTCGTCTACTCCAATGGAGAAATTTGTTTCCCGATGGAACTCCTCCATTGGGCAAGATGGATGCGTTCCGAACCTCACACGAAATGTTACAAACAATCTTGCTGTCCACGACTGTACCGTACTTTCTCAACATAGGTCAGATAATCTGCGATAAATATATCCATACGAATATTTTACGTAATACGTAATTGAAGAGTACGATAAATAAATTGAAGAGTAAGATAAATAAAATATTTGTGTCTTCGCTCAAAATAGCGAACGACGTATGACAAATTAAAAAAGTCCAGGCTACCACGCCGCCTAGTAGCCTTGAGAGGTGAGAAACTGACCAACCTACCTAACCTAAATCGACTTACTCTTAATCTAGAATTTCAAGTATGCTACAAAGGATAAAAACAAGAACGCAACTACAGAATCATACATTTTGTCATCATACATTTGTTTTTGGCTGCGACTTCTTATTTCCAATATATGCGTTTTATTTGCTGCAACCGCGAAAAGTGCAAATCACACGCATGTGTTATAGGTTATCTCTATAGAAACGCGGCTTCGTCTTATAAAACGTCGAACGCTTTACCTTTGTTGACAAACAAGCCTCGATCTGGCCGCCGAACGCCACGCGAACGCTTTCCAGTGTTATTTCCAAGAAGACACCATCGTCGCTCGCGCATAAAAAACAATAGCAGCGAACCATAGTGGCGCGCACAGACGTAGTCCTGGGAGCTAGCAACGTTGACAAAACGCACGGCGGGACAGGGAAGACTGTTCCTTTCTCGCGAGCACCTTCGCGGAAGTTTGCACACGCGATCGCGCCACTACGTTGTACATCAGAACCGTCTTCCACGCCAAATTGATGCCGCTACTCGCTAAATTGGCGGTAATCTGACCAACTAGAAGATGGCGGAGCCACACGAGATATATCGAACGGTTACGGCTCGATAACGCTTGTCGATATCCTCATACCGCAATCTCCTGGAATCGGAGGGAAAATGGCACCGCGATGACGACGCTACCATCTAGGTGCCAATGGGTGCACTTAGTACGACACTGAGCTCTTGAGTCTGGTTGGTTATATTCTTTCGAATATAAAACGAATATACCAATCGGGTACAAGAACTCGTTGAGCGGTTGCGAACGCCTGTCGTTCAAAGAATAACGGCCGAACGATTGATTCTTCAAAAATCTCTAAGTAAATTATTTATACTAAACGATTATATAATTATTATTGTGTTTTCTCCAACGCACACGCAGTGATTGCGCGGCGCTCGACCTTGGCGATGTTTTCTTGGATTTCGTATTGTTCACGTTGGACAATACGAACCTAAAACCTCATGGAAACATAAAACCAATTAGTGTCTTTAGACGTAATTAGAATGCGGCCTTGACCTTCCGTCTCTTTCGATCTGAGCTTTGCTGTTTCTTCCTGCCTGATCCTTCCTTCGTCGTCAAAACATTGAGCCACGATTTTATCGTCTATTCTTATTATTTATGAGGAGCGTAAACCAATTTGACAATTCTCGGTATCGTAATTAGAAGATGTCTCGAGGACGTCTTGCAAACAATGTCTTACTTTCTCAGTTGCTTCTCAGGCGTCCTTTAGTAGTTGCCGCTATTTGGATACGACGGTTGTAGCAGCGGAACTTATTAAATTGCTCTTATGTCGCTCGTGTAAATATAGACGTATATTATTGAAGCTCTTACCAGAGCCGAACGCTGAACGCACATGCGAGAGTTAAGTATGCCTTTTTAATTTCGAGTTTCTTATATTCCGCATATATGAAGTATTTGAAGTGAAAAGGGCATGTTAGATTTTCGCATGTAGTCTGGAATAAGGCCCCTGATTTTAGATTTCTGTGTCTGAACACGATAGTCACTCGTGATTTTTCTCTGTTACAGTATGCAGTGATCCGTGAACACGTAGCAAGTAGATGCAACGTCGGAAACACAAACGCAGGATTTATTTGCAGAAACAACGCAAAACAATCATCGTACAAAGGTGCGCACCACCACGTCGTCAAGCAAACGCCAGACAGACGACTTGTTCGTTTATCTTTAATTTCGCGACGAAAGTGAGAGTATCTTTACATCTATGTGCGACAATTCGTTTGCCATTAGTCGCGGAGACACTGCACCACCGCGGTCGTATATATTCTTTTGTAACGCGATACTCTGTCTAAAAGTGTCGACACCAGTTCTCTCTATCCAGTGACGGTCGCGCGGAATCTGTTGTCGAAACGTGGAAATTCTCGCAATATATATATATATATAATCATATATATATATATATAATATATATATATATATACATATATAATAGATATATATATATATATATGTATGTATATATGTATTTCGCAAACAAAAATTCCTAAAGTAGGTATAAATTATTCCTCACACACACACACACACTCGCGCTATTCAGCTGGGTACCCTCCGGGTCTGCTCTTGTGCGTTCTCACTCGGAGCCGGTGAGCCCTCTATTTGGTTTTTCGGTCCGCCAAACAGAAGCCTGAAGGTCTCCAATGCTGACGTGAAAATGCTCCTACAATACAGAACACACACGTGCGAATTACATATTTCTCAGCGACGTATCATCAACGGTGCATCATGCCTATCAACCAGGCAATCGATCGCGAAGCTTCCCCTCCTTAAACACTTTCAAATACTTTCAAGTCAGAAAGTTTTCACTCTTTGCGTTTTCACTCACGTTGGAGGGGAAGATTCACACGATCGATACCTAGACGATACCTAGACTTCAACTTCATTCCTCAGGCAATCGCACATCTTCAAGCATACAAAGGATATTTGGAAGTATTTTGCGCTTATTTGATCTTTACAGGATAACGCCTTATCGTGTCGCGTTGGCTGAATAATTAGCGAAGGTGAAACCAAGTTACTACACGAGAACAAGCTACAACTCGCTTCCAAAGCAACTCTTGGGACATAAGTTATTCAGCAGAAATTTTTAAAAAACGTCTCATTCATCTTCAAGTTCGGCATATTCGTTACGTAGTTGAGTATATTTACCTTCCCGCTTAGTTTAAACTTTTCAAAATAGGGCAATTTTAAATATAAGATTCGATTGTGAATACTGTCCGGCGACGTCTTTTAGAAATTTCTACTATCTGCACGGAGAAAATATTGTAGTAAGAATTATAACAAAATTGTAATCTTGGATTATATAGAGATATCGCCGAAATTATTTATTTAACAATGTTTGGTTTTTTATCACACAATATTGTAATTCTTTGGATGTTCTATTTTGTTTTTTTCTTTGTTCACTGTTTCTGTAATTATTCATACAATGTCGGTATAGTCCAGCATTACAAAAATTCAAAAAGAAATATAATTTTACTCTGTCTCGCTCTTTACTACAACATTTTCTCCGTGTAGGCCATTAGCGAATTCTTAAAGAAACAAGGGCAAGAGAAAAAGGCTATCACCTCACGCAATCCCTCACGTTCGTGTAGATTTGATCGGGCGGCAGTTTGACGGAGGGCACTTTCTCCTCCACGTAGTCCAGGCCGATGCAAACGACGTCGTCCACGGCTTTGAGCGGCGTCTTCAAAGCGTCGGCGAAGCGCTCGGTGACAGGACTAGCGAACTGCAGACCGGCGCACACACCGTCCTCAGCGTAGCCGAGTATCGTCGCGACCGCTTCGTGTGAGCCCTTCGTGACAGCGTAAGCGTTACGGAGGGTCGATGTCACCGCAGCGAACAAGGGCAGATCCAGCAAACGTCGCGTGCAAACCATGTTGTGTGCGTTCACATCCGCGTTGTCCGTCGACAAATCCGCGGCGCTGCTCGCCGCTTCGCCAAATTCGCGGGGTTCGCGCGTGCCACACATGATGCTCAATTGCTACGGAAAAGAACAATCGGGACGACAGGTGTGTGAGAGCGGCTTACGCACCGGCAGACTGCCGCGCAACGCGACTTTCACAATTCTCGAAAACGTTAACCCTTCAAGCGTTAATCTTTTTATTTTTCGTTGGCTGTGAGTTTTTTTATCCGTAAAAGAAAACTTAGAATATATTGATGTGTAGAAGAGAAAAAATTTTGTAGAGACGATCAAAATTGTATTTGGAGAATTTCTATTGGTACCTAATTTGCTTATTATATCACCGGTTAGCAACCGTCTTGCATCTGCGGAAAGAATCAGGAAATAGACTCCTCGTCAAAAGGCAAATATAGTGCTCGAAGGATTGAAGGTCGAGACCTGTAGCACCGACGAATCTCGATCTTCGAGGCAGCGCGTGGGAAACTTTTTGTTTCACGTCGGACGATGTGTCTTGCATTTTTATTCGCGAGCGAGTTGCGGGAATTGCACTCGCGTATGTATATTTAATTTGGGTTTCTTCGATGCACTTATATATATAGTCTTGGCGTTTGCGCGCTGTCGCGGGGAGGCGAAATAAAGCAATCAAGTCGGCGTCGCCCAGTCTGAACGGGATTGCGTTGGCGGAAGAAGCAGTTCGCTTTGCGCTGCGCTGCGCTGCTGATTTCTGTTGAACGTTATTTGACGTTCCACGTTTTTTCAACGACGTTCATTGAATGGTGAAGTATAGGAAGATTCTGAAGAACTAGCCGCTATTTAGTAAACGCGTTGAAAAAGCGGAAACGACAAATGTCAGATTTGTTTTCTATCGCTACATTAGTATGTATTTTCGGAACTTGCAAAGAGACAAATATATGATCGAATTGATTGAAAAAGAGAGAGAGAGAGAGAGAACTGTGCGAAGAGTACAAGATGGTGCAGTTAATTCGGCAAGAAAACAAACCTATTTAGCATAAAATTTCACAGCAATCGGCAGCGCAGCTTAGTGAGCTGCTTTTTCTACCGAACACAGTCAATGCCTTGTCCAGGCAATTTAAATAATAAGCGTCCTTATATTCACTGCAAATTTATGACAAAATTTGTAAAAATGTACAAACATATTTATAATCTAATTTCAGAGTTCGTAACATAAACTATAGATGTTTTATATTAAAATAATATCAGAACGCGATCACATAATTGCATAATGCATGTACGCGCGAGGAAGTGGATTCCACCTTTGTGTCTAATACAAAGGACATCCTTTTACTCCACGGGTCACAACCGGTTGACTTCTTGGCGCATTACGCGATTATGCAAGTTTGGATAAGGATGTTAATACGGAAATTGGCGCGACTAGTCGCGCGGTCGGCCGGCTCGAGTCCACCACGGTCTCCGACAAAGTCACGATGTCGCGAAGGTCTCTCCACGATTTTTCACACCGCGGAGAGTCTCGCCACGGCGAAGACCTCTCTTCGAAGACAGCGCAGGCGAGCCGCCGTGTTCGGTGACGTTTCAGCCGAGGTGTAACATGCAAAAACTGACATACGCGTCGAACGCGCGGCGCGTGCAGGAAGATCGTCTGTCGTCGTCGTCGTCGTTGTCGTTATACGCACATGATATGCGATGCGCATGATACTCGACGATTGTTCACTGATGTCGCGCGACGTCTCGGAGGCTGTCATCGCTCTTGCCGCACACGGAGACGGAGACCTGCGACTACGAAGGACGACTCCGCCGAGAGAGGTCGAGGTTCCCGCGTCGTGTCCTAAATTTAGCCCAACGCCTGCCCGCGCGCACTGGCCTTTTTACCTTGGCACTTCGCGTCGAGTCAGTCGAGGCTGATCGACGCAGGTCGCTGGTCTACATGCGCCTTCGGTGCATGCTCTCTCATCGACCCGTCGTAGAATGCGGTCCGGCAACCGCTACAAATGCTTTGAAGCGTTTCTCTTTCTCGTTCTATTTCTCGGATGCAAACGAAGAAAGAGAGAGAAGTAAAAACGCTTCGAAGCATTTGTAGCGATTGATGGACCGCACCCGTAATCGTGCGCGGAGGGCGCGCGCGAAATACGAAGCTCGTTTGCAACACAAGCCCCCTAAAAAACATCGAAGAATAGAAGCAGCGTTCTACGCTGCTTTAGACATATCTTAAATGTCTTCTAGACATCTCTAAACGTCTATTAGAGGTTCATGATGTGATGACAATATAATCAAAGGCCAGAATTTATTCGTACATAGTGTTTCATGCTTTTCATATACATACGTCCAGTTCATATTTAGACGCACTTTTATTTTTGTTTTCTAGTACATTATATATTGTAATATTATATGATATATAAAATATACTTTACAATACAATGTTACAAATTTAGATGTAAATATAATGCAAGTGTAAATCGTCTTTATGCTGTAAATATCTATATGTACATAAACTCGATAACACGTCGGTAACGGGTTGCCTACTTTTTGGCGATCTCTACGTCATCATTTAAGGAGATTATCATCTACTTTAGTATTTTCTTAATACAATATAGTACAACGTTCGATAGTCGAGAGAAGAATTTGTCTTCTAGGAAACAAAGTAGGAATCCTAGAAAATTTATTCTCTTATTGAAGATTAGATCGTTGTATGTCGGGTACAATGTAGTCTCAGCTGAACGAGCTTCAAATTTTAATTGGAAAAAGATCAAGTGTCGACTAAATGATTCTTGTTAGATTCAAAGCGTCTTTCATTCGCTCATATGCACACTTAAACACACATATATTAGACGCTGGACTCGTAAATGACGATTTGCACAATCGGCTTTCTAGGCGGTGGTGCTGTTGCGGATGCGGCGATGTCGCGCAGCACCGCTTCTACGGCTTCTTCCCAGTCCTGGTCCTTAGAGACGTCTTGATCGATGGACGAGGACCATTTCAAACGCGGCATAGATATAACTGTCAGTACTTTCCTGAAAAAAGAATCCCCGCGCATTAATACCCAGACACGAGAAACCTCTAAAGACATCTTGAAGACATCTAAAAGACATCTGAGAAGATAGAACGTTTTTACGGTGCTTTTTAGAAATTTCTGCTACTTGAGACACCATAAATTGTTATGTATGTAATTCAAATGAATATTAAAGTTAGAGAAATTTATCTACATGTGTCATCACAAGATCTTACACATGGCGATAACGTTGTGAAAACATACCTTAGATCAGAATGAAACGCGGACATGTCACCACCCGCTTGCTCACCGAGTTTTCTAAGAGTCTCGGCCAATGGGCCGCTTAGTCTCTGCAGTCTTCTCCAGGACTGAGCGTATTGTCGTCTCACCAGCTCGATGATGGTGCTGGTGAGCGCCAACCCGACCAAGATGTACAAAGTGCACAGCAGAGTATACTTGGGTTTCTCTGAAGGAAACCGACAAAGATTAACGTGCGACTAACTTCTAATAGCCTTTTCGTTTGAAGTGCTATAATAAAGTTAAACTCAAAATAAACTCAACAAAGAAAACTCTACGATAATTTTAACGGAGTGTTAATTACATTTCCATTCTCTCTTGCAGAAAATGCGAAAGATCGTCACTTACTCGGCACCAGGTCGCCGAAGCCTATGGTCGTCATCGTTACAAAGCAGAAGTAGAAGCCGTCGAAGAAGTCCCAATCGTCCTCCCACAGCATGAACATACCGGCGCCGCAGGCGAGGTACAAGAAGAGCAATCCGATAGCAGCACAGGCACCTGTAAAGAGACCACCGTCGGAACAAGTAAAAGTGAGAAGGGCCAACTCAGCCGAGTTCAACTCACCGAGCGACCGACGACCGGTCGCGTTCGACGGGATGCACGGGAGCTTGGCGTCAAACGGAAGTCTCGACTTCAACGTCAACGCGACATGCACCACTGCTCCGGCGAATAGCTTGCCCAAGTCGGCGATCACAATCAGGGTGAGTGGTATGCCGACGAAGGCGAAGAGAATGCAAAAGATCCTGCCCCAGTTAGTCGAGGGCACGACGTTACCGTATCCTGTCGAGGAAGCAGATCGAACATCAGGTACGATTTAGCAAAAGTAATATTTAGCAAAAGTTTAGTAATCTTTGTCACAAAATTTTGCCTGCATAGAGTTCATCTTACCAATCGTTGTGAGGACGGTGCTGGCGAAGAAGACCGCCTGAAGCACGCTCCATCTTTCTGTCATGACGGGCGGCAGGTCCGTATCGGCCTGATCCTGCTGGTCAACAGTACTCGCCACGAAGCCGATCAAGAGACCCGCCTCCGCCGCCTCCTGGACCGCTTCCTCGTAGCCACGCAAGTTCACGCTCACCTGGAAAGCTCGGTTCGCCGCGACATTATTACCACGGATGAGAACTCACGGCGACGAAAGTAGACGTTACTCACCAAAGTGCGTAAGTTGGAGACGTCCGTATTATTGCAGACGGATTCCACGAAGCGATATCGCTGCGTGCGTAATCTCGCGCGCAAACGCTCGAGCCGTCCGAGCTCCGCCGGAAGTTCGATTTGCCGAAAGACCTGCGGGCCATTTAAAAATTCGTCGCGTTTGCGACTTAGCGAACTCGGCCGTCAGCCGATTTCCATCAACCGTCGACATAAGTTGGCACAATTATCATCGTACCTTTGTCGCTTATTGAATGTAGAAGAAGGACTGAATTATGCTTGGTGCCGACTTGTGTCGTTAAATGGGAAGCATCTGCTATCGGCGACATCGATTGCATCGACGGTCGAAATTATCGGATCAACATATCACAAAAGCGTACAAACGCGTCACTTCCCCTCTCTTTCTCTCCTTTCTCTCTCGAGTCTCGAGTGCTGCGCGTACTTCGGGCTAATGAAGAGTAGCCACCGGATGTGCATTTGCGCATGTTTGCCGAGCAAATGCACATTCTGCCGCGCTGTTTGCAAAGGTCGTTGATGCTGTTTATTGGCGGCTGGTTATTAATAAACCGCCGGCGGTTATCAATGCCACGCCGTCAATTGCTTTTTCGCTTGTCGTACAATATTGTAAAATGCGTGCGTGGAGATAAACCGATAATTTCGACGATCGTCGCTTGTCGTTTGACAACCGACCAACGACTCGCGTTCGGTGCGACGAACGATCTCGTGATTGAACGATCTCTTGATTCGCTTTCCAATTCGAATCTGGATTTTATTGCGATTTGCATGCAGAATTGCTTGTTATCGCTGGAGTGCGAATTGTTTCCTCGCATAAGGAACTCGTCGACGCGAATGGATCGCGGCTGTGGGACGAGAAAGAGAGAAAGAGAGAGAGAGAGAGAGAGAGAGAGAGAGAGAGAGAGAGAGAGAGAGAGGGAGGGAGGGAGAGAGAGAGAAAGGGAGGAAGGGGCGAAGCTTGAAACACGTACGTCTATTTTCGCTGCTATGATATTTGTGTGCGCGCGCTCAAAAAACCATAACTATCATGATTTCGACGCGCACGGTATTTTTACCAGACTTCATTGAATGGCGCCCGGTAGTAATGCACTTGTTACCAACCGGCTGAGCCGATTGGGCCGCCGCTAAAAATAAAGGTGCGATTCGGTGGGCTACAAGTCCGTCGGTTATTGTATAGAATGTAAATATTTATGGAACATCGAATACATTTAACTCTCCATACTGTGAAAACCTCGGCGTTTCACCGAGTGAAAACTCGAACGCACGTCGGATTCGTGATCCCGTCGGCGCTTCGCTCTCGTGTGTCCCTTTTTTCCCTCTTTTCTTTTCTCCCTCGAACGTTCGGTCGAGCGCTCTTCTTATGTAATCCGACGAGACTAGAGTTTATCCGAAATGAAACGAGAGTCGAATATTGTTCGCCAACTGTCATGATTAATTAAACGTAAATAGAGGAAGCTTGTAAAGTGGACAGTTGACTGAATGCAATCGATTGTCGATTTTTCATAGAGGAATATTTCGACCCGTAATTCGCGATCTAAGAGACACCCCTTATCGTTTTGCAAACACATTACATTTTTTTCAATGGATGTTTCCCATTTGACAGATAAATAAACGAGTGAACAAACTTCGATTGAACGTTCGATTGAAACAAACGTTCGAGTGAACGAACTTGAAGAAACTTCCCGCGGAGAATAACGTTTTCACAGGTCGTTCTTTCCTTCTCTTTCCTTTTCTCTTTCTCTCTCTCTTGCTTAGTTTTATATTTTCCAATTCGGATAGAAGAAAGAATGACCGATACAACTTCCCACTTTTATTCCTCTCTTCGCCACTCACCAGTCCGCCGATCACAGTGTAGAACATCAGCATGATCAGCAAGCCCACGTGTCCGGCGATCGACTTGAACCTTCGCACTGTCTCCTCCTTGACCAGTCGTTTCGCATCCTTGCTGTCCGCCAGGAGGCTACTCGTGCGACCGAGTTCGTGCGAATCAGCGGCGGATGCAGTGCACTTGCTGCCACTCATCATGGTTCATTCACGGCCGCGTTTCTCACGTGCGACGTAAACGCGCCGGCTACTCGGGAAAGACTGATCGGCACACTCTACTTTGCGATCTACCAGCACCTTTGTCGTCTTGCATCCCGAATTGCACGCGGTATTGTGTGAAAATTGCACGGGAGATTACGTATAATAATATCGATTTTTACAAAAGAAAGAAAAAACGCCGAATACATATGAAAAGAAGTACCAAACCAAAAAATAAAAAAAAACACCAAAACAAAACGTACTATAACAAAAATATAGCTAAAATATATATAAATATAACAACACAAAAAGTACAAAACGAACATGTAAAAAAACGCAAATGTTTCATTAATTTTGTTAAAAAAAAATGCGATCAATATAATTAATCAAGTACATAATATTTATTATATTTGTATTACATTTTATTATTATATTTTTATTAAACGGTGAAATATCTAGTTAAGATACCGAGGAAAAACTTAACATCGAGATCAAAAACTCGGCGTGCCCTGAGCGTTTAAATATATAATATTTAAATATATTACTTTTCATTATAAATATTTAGAATGCTACGAATAATGTTATGAACAGTATCAGAAATATATGTTGAAAACACTAAAAAATATACATATGTATATATATTTGTTATGGTAAAATTTATGTTAATTTTTTGTGAATTCAAGTTCGTATGATCGCCGTAAAATTAAATTTTCTATATGATATAATAACTATTATATAATAAGTATTATATAATAACTGTGTTATAATAACTATTATACTTTATATGAGTTTTAAATTTTATATCAGTTTTCATATGAACTTTAACATTTTTCTGTATGTTGCTTCTCTTATTCCATAGTTTAGAACGTAAATTGTGTGTGTGTGTGTGTGTATGTGTGTGGTTATATATTTGTATATATTTCATATTGTATATGTTTCATATTTTTGTATATGTATGTATATACATTGCAACGTTCACAGCACGCCGAGTTTTTGATCTCGATGTTAAGTTTTTCCTCAGCATCTTATCTAGAAATTTCACCGTTTAATAAAAATATAATAATAAAATATAATAAAAATATAATAAATATTATGTATTTGGTTAATTATATTGTAGCATTTTTTTAACAAAATTAATGAAACATTTGTATTTTTTACATGTTCGTTTTATACTTTTTGTGTTGTTATATTTATATGTATTTTAGCTATATTTTTGTTGTAGTACGTTTTGTTTTGGTACGTTCAGTCTTAGTATGTTTTTTTTTTTATATTTTTTGATTTGCTACTTCTTTTCATATGTACTCGGCGTTCTTTTTTCTTTTGTAAAGACTTTTTGTTATGATTTTACTGCTTTTTGAGTAAATTATTTATGTACAAATCTTATTATATTACTCTTTTTCAGCAAAGAAAATATATACATTTTTGGAATTTCGAGGCTAATTACATTTTTTTATTTTAAAATTATTAATATAATCCATTCTGTGCACTTAACACGAACGACGTTTGTGTAATGTCCATCGGTTATGCTTTCACCATTATGGAAAATTGCACTAATGATTTTATATATATCAGTGCCTAAATTATATTTAACTATTATCTAAAATGGAAATAGTCGGTTCCGCGAGAGAAAATTTGACTGAAAGGAACGCGATTTGATTCTGGATCAATCGGTCCTTCACGAAACTTCCTTCCGCATATAATGAGCAATAAAGAATAGAATGACGCTTACATAAGTAATGCGTAAGCATCTAAAGCGAACGCAGAGATAATGAAATGCTTATTTATTTCAACCTGTATGTTGCAAACACATCTGATAACAAACTCGCATTACTTATGTTCGTGCATATATGTGTAATCTGAAGCTAACATCGCGTGGCAATGCAAACGCAACTTGATGGACAAACTCGCTTTGCTTGTGTGCATATATGTGAGATCTGAATCTGAAATTATTAGAGAAAAGAAAAGGACCTTTTTGCAGGTGAGATTTCGAGATCTCCGTATTTCCTGCACCAATCTTGATTAGGCTTATTGCAAATTACGCGCGAGATAGACATTATATAAGAAAAATGTCATCAGACCTTTTATTATAATTTCTATGCTTGAAATATTTGACTCGGAAGACCAATCGATTCTGAAATTCCGGAAAAGCTACCACGGTCGCTTTTGTTTCATATGTACTCGGCGTCGCGCCGCGACCGCGGCGCTTGATACGCGGTCGCGCAAATTGAAAGAAAAGGAAGGAGACAGGAGGAAAAAGAAACGCAAGGCTGCAAACAAGATTGCGCGGCTTCGCGTTATATTTTACCTCCTATGTTTCAATCAACGAAGGGAGGAACTTCGACTGATCTATAATTTTTAATCTCCAGCTTTTAAATTAAAGAATTATAAACCTATGCGACATCGAGAAGATATACATATATGTCGTGCCATTCGAATTCCGAGTGCGCGAGCCCTCAGGCAATGACAATTATATTTATCTTCATTCGATAAGCGTGTGTTTTAATGCGTTTAAATGCACACATCTTTGGCGCGTCGAGTGATCCAATTCGTACAACTGTATGCAGTCTGCGCTCAGTCGATAAGTTAAAACTGCAAGCAGAGCAGCGTAGCATCGACGAAATACTATGAAGGCCATTGGTCTTACGACATTTGCATAGAAACAAGACAAAAATATTAATATTCGTATTGTTTTCGGGATATGCGAAATAGTCAATATTGTCATGAACGATCCCAGGCCTCTTAGGACCCCTTTGCCAATTTGAAAATTTACTCAGGGCTGATAGTCCAACATTACCACCGACGAGACACTAATAAAAATTATTGATCCTACTGGATTTATTGTGGGTTTTTCAGCGTTTTTCATTGCTTTTTTGTATTTTTCGACGCTTTTCGGCGTTTTTATTCGTTTTTCTGCGTTTATGTACGTTTTATGCGTTTTTCTATATTTTCCAGCATTTCTCCGCGTTTTTCAGAGATTTCCAGCGTTTTTCGGATCAAGAGAATATGATAACCGAAAAGGTATTATTAATTTCTGACGGGATCCTTCTAGAAGATTCTAAAATATTTTACCACGTTCCAAAACCTTCTAGAACATTTTACAACCTACTAGGAAATACTCAAATATTCTAGACAATTCTGGAACCCTTTAGAACGTTTCAGCACCATACAGAACATTCTAAAACCTTCTGGAAAACTCCAGAAACTTCTACAACATTCTGGAATTTTTTGAAAAAGAATTCTGCAATCTTCTAAAAAGTTCCGGATTTTTAGAAAGTTCTACAATTTCCTAGAAATTTCGAGAATTTTTCTAGAAGGTTCCAAAATATTCTGAAAGATTTTAAAATGATTTAGAAGATTCTAGAATGTTCTAGAAAATTCTATAGTCCACGTGGACGCTGGCCATGTGTGACCGAATCCTCGACAGTGGTTGGCCGAACTGGCCGATCCGCGAGGATTCGGTCGCCAGACGGCCGAGGCTGTCCGCCCCTGCCTATCGGAAATGGTGGGCAGAAGGGGGCGCGGACTTTCCTTCCACATGCAGGTGCTGACCAGGCATGGATGCTTTGGGAGGTACCTGCACCGAATAGGGAAGGAACTCACCACCGAGTGCCACCACTGCCCGGAGCCGGAGGACTCGGCGCGGCACACCCTCGCAGAATGCGAGGCGTGGAGCCAATCCTGGGCCGGGTCCTGGCCCGGACGATGGGGTGCAATGTGGGGGACCTCTCGCTCCCGCGTATGGTTCGCGCCATGTGCGGGAGCGAAGAGGCATAGGGGGCGGCGGCCTTCTTCTGCAAGGACGTTATGTCCCAGAAGGAGGCCGCCGAGTGGGAGCGCCCGCCTAACCCCGTCCGCAGGACGCAGAGGGGTAGAAGGCGGCGCTCCCCGGAAGATGGTAGCAGCCCCGAGGTGGCGCCGGCTGAGGAGGAGCGGCGACCGGTTCTCCGGAGACCGCCCCCACGGCCGCTTCGGGGCCGACTTCGGACGCGCGGGGGAAGGACGTCGGGAGGGGGCTGAGAACTCCCGCCCGCACTCCCTCGCGCGTCGGTAGAGGGTGGAAAGGGGGAGCGAGGCCCTCTGGGAAAGGGCCACGCTCTCCCGCCCCCTCCCCGGAGTAGGATACTCCGAACGGGAGGGGGGCGGGGAGGGAGGGTAGGCATGTCCCCTCTCTCCCATAATTGTAACCGCAAGGCCAACCCGCTCGGCTTAGCCGATCGGGGCGCCGCGCCCTGAACCTTGTCCTCAGGGAGAAGGGGGCGCGGCACGTGGGCGTGGGGTTCGACAAACGAGCCCTGGGGCCGGGATGTCGGGGAGGGAATGCTGGCGCAGTTCCCCTGGCTCCCCCCATCACGGTCTGACTGGTAGACATCCCGCAGAGCTTTTAATGAGTAAGAGTCTCACATAACCCTCTGCCCCTCCCAGGGGGCGGAGGGTATCCATGATGGGTTTCCTCTGCGTTAACACAAAAAAAAGAAAACGATGGCCATGTGCCTCGGGCCTGCCTACGTCCGCGCAGGAGGGAGAGGGCGACGGACTTAAGGCCCGCGTCCCTCTGTGCGACGGTAAAGGAGGAAAAGGGAGAGCGGGAACACCGTTTGAGGACGGGACACGCTAAATCAACACTTTCTGGTAAAAAGGGGCTAGGAGAGAAGGTGGGTGTCCTTTCTCTACTCTGTTAGGACCAGGTGGCTAACCAGACCGGGCAATCGGTCGGGGAGCCACGCCTCGCACTCTTATAGGAGGGGCGCGGCACTTGGCGAGGGGCTCCCTCAAAGCAACACGCCCGGGGTTTCGGGGAGGGAATACCACCGTAATTCCACCGATACCCCTCACCGAACTACGCCCCGCCTGGCAGAAACGCCGGTGGGGTTTTAGCCGGTAAGAGTCCGGCATAAACCCGTCACTCCAAGGGGCGGCGGTATCCATGAGGATCTCCCCACCGTCATAAAAAAAATAAAACCAGCGGCTATGTAATCAGACGTCATGTAAAACAACAACCACGTTAAACGACGAACACGTGGCCGGTGACCACGTCACAATCTTCTAGAACATTCTGGAATATTCTAGAAAATACTATAATCTACTAGAACGTTTCAGACACGACAATCACGTGGCCCATGGTTACGTCAAGAACATCTAGAATATTCAGGAATCTTCTAGAAAGTACTAGAAT